CATTGACCTTGTAGGGTAAAAACGGTTTCCGATCAATAACTAAAGAACGCTTAGGCCTTTGGAACTTCAAACTTGGTATGATGATTGGTCATGACCAGCAGATGACCCTATTGATTTAGGGGTCAAAAGGTCAAGGTCACATTGACCTTGTAGGTAAAAACGGTTTCCGATCAATAACTAAAGAACCTTAGGCCTAGAGACTTCAAACTTGGTAAGATGATTGGTCATGACCAGCAGATGACCTATTGATTTTGGGGTCAAGGGGTCAAAGGTCAAGGTCACATTGACCTTGTAGGTAAACAACGGTTTCAGATCAATAACTAAAGAACGCTTAGGCCTAGGAACTTCAAACTTGGTATGATGATTGGTCATGACCAGCAGATGACCCCTATTGATTTAGGGGTCAAAGGTCAAGGTCACATTGACCTTGTAGGTAAAAACGGTTTCCGATCAATAAAACTAAAGAACCCTTAGGCCTAGAGACTTCAAACCTTGGTAAGATGATTGGGTCATGACCCAGCAGATGACCCCTATTGATATTTGGGGTCAAGGGGTCAAAGGTCAAGGTCACATTGACCTTTGTAGGTAAAAACGGTTTCTGATCAATAACTAAAGAAAGCTTAGGCCTAGGATTTCAAACTTGGTATGATGCTTGGTCATGACCAACATATGACCCCTATTGATTTTGGGGTCAAAGGTCAAGTGCACATTGACTTTTAGGTAAAAAAACGGTTTCCGATCAATAACTAAAGAACCCTTAGGCCTACTTCAAACTTGGTATGATGATTGGTCATGACCAGTAGATGACCCCTATTGATTTTGGGGTCAAGGGGTCAATGTCATAGTGACCTTTGTACTTAATGGACGCGATTCTGACCAATAACTCAACAACTCAAGTTGCCTTGGTTGATATTTTATATGTGCTTTTGGGGTATACACATTTGAAGGTCTTATGTAATAATAACAACTTGGCTGTCATTAATGAGGCTATGTGATTCATAAAATTTATGTAAATATTATTTGGTAAGATTTTTAATAACTTTAATTGCTGCACACAACCTATGGTGTCACAATAATTATTACCTTGTGACTAATCATGACCAGAAGATACTAGATAACCCTTATTAATTGCTTGTTCACTGGGTCAGAAGTCATGCATAATAACCTGATCACATGACAAATTGGCTGCCGATAGGGGGCATACATGTTTTACAAACATATCTTGTTTATGATTAGGGTTTTATTTCATGTTTAAATCTTAAAAAAAAATACATTTATACAAGTTGAAAATTGTTGAAAAGTCAACTCCAATTAAAGATTTTGTTGCATTTAAACTAAGTCAGCTTATTTTTTAAGCAGCAATTACATTGTATCTGACTTTAAATGCAGTATTTATAGGCAGATATTTTACCACTTACAATAAAACCATTCTAACCTATAGCTAATATCATATTATGTCAATTCCAGAATGCATTTCCTGTGTCTGGATTATTTTCCACACACCTGTTGTCATTGGATGCCCTGCTGACAGTGGTGGATAGTATTGAACAACATTGCCATAGTCGTATCCTTAAATCCACCACTAATCCAAGTCATGGCGGGGATCAAACCAAGAAAGGCACAGATTCTGGTGAAGGACCGACAACCACTGCTGAGACAGAGAAGGATGAAGGAGGAGCAACGACTTCTCAAAAAATGCAGCAAAACCAAGGTAGATATTAATCTTTTTCTCTATTTATTTTGTGAAATGTTTACTGTATTTATAATTATGTTTTGTATGAAGAAAGTTTTTTGCAAGTTGTTTTTATTTTATAATCTGAATATTTAAAATATTGTCAGACATAATATTGTTTTTTGCTGAACTATTCAAAGAAAATTGAGAGCTATTGCGAATTATGGCCCTTTTTTAAATTCTACATAATTCAGGCTCTTGTTTTACTGTTAAGCACTGAAAATGGTCAAGCACACTGTCCTACTGACAGCTCTTGTTCTAAGAATTATTTTATTATATCTACATATGTGTTGTATGTATAATTGTCTGTATTCATAGAGAATAAAAGTGGTAGCAAGTTACGAGATACAAGAAAAGGTCCATTCATCAAACCCAACAGAATGAAGGTGACTAGTGATTTACCAACACAGGAAGAACTTTATGCACTTAAACAAAGAAAACGGGTAAGACCTGTTATTATATTCAGTCAGTTCATATTTTGAAGTTTTCCCTTAACATGATAAATATTGAAAGATAAACCAGTCTATTTAACAGATCTAGTGTAAAGGGTTTGGTAGTAAATAAAGAATTTAAGATTTCTGTCAACTCAATGATAAAACTAAAATTCCATGTCTACCAGTATATTACTCATTGAATTATTGTTATGAAAGTGGCACTTAATCTATTGTTACATACAAATTTACATCTCACATTTTTTATAATCGGTGTATGTCAGAATAATTTTTATCAGGAAATTGACATTTTTAGTATTTCATGATGTGGATACAACTTGTGTTCTGTAATATTTTTGCTAAAAAGGGTGAACTTCTGTCTAATGAAAATGAAATTTTTTTATGTGTAGGTGTACCAAACTGGGACAGAATATTTCAACCAGAAGCCAGCTAAAGGTATAGCATACCTGCAGGAGCAAGGTATGTTGTCTGATCCTTTAGACCCAGAGGAGGTTGTCAACTTTATCAAAGAGAATCCGAAAATAGAGAAGAAGATGTTAGGAGAATATATTACAAAAAGGAACAACAGCAAGTTATTGGAAGTGTTTGTAAAGTAAGTTTTTTTTATCAGTATGGGAGTTTTATTTCTTATTTAACATTTTGATTTCTTTAATTTTTCTTATACTAAACACATTTCATGATGTACAATTGTACACTTTTTGTATTTTCTGATCGCAGATCAGGAAATACATTACTAACACAGAGATTTCATGACAAACCTATCAACAAGTAGTTCTCAAAACAGCTTAAAACTAGCGATGTAAAAGAAAGAAATATTTTTATTTTGTTACAAGTATCCGACGAATTAAAACGCATTCAAAGTTTAAAAGTAGCATTGCCAATAAATGCACAATCACAAATTACGCGGATGAATATTATTTTAATCAATGAAAATGCTATTTTTAGCGATGTCGATTACCGAATACTTCAGAGCGTAGTACACAAATAAATCTGACTGTCGAGTAGTGGAATATATACATGTCAAACTGTTTTGGCAAGAAGATTTTCGCTAAATTATTTACATCAGTGTTAAACAACAGGTTTATCGTGAACAAAATACCTCAAAATTAATAAGGATTACAAACCCGAAATGGAAATTCTAAATTTAGAATTATTTGATTTTATTCAAGCTTTCTTCATATTCCCATGGTGCAGGGGTAACGCGCTCGTTTAGGGTGTGAGAGGTCTCGAGTTCAAATCCAAGTTGAGGCAACCATTTTTTTAAGTGTCTTTTTAAGGAAGTAGCCTTGATATGCAAGGATAAGGTGTGGCTGTCATAAAAAAATGAACATTAATGATTTTTGATGCAACTCTACTCATGCAAAATTCCATATGTATCAAACTCAAACTGTTAAAGTAAAAAATCTAAATGCAGTCGCTGCATCTCGGTGCCCTGTAAGATGAATTATAGTATATGAAAATAAACTTATACAGGAAAATACATACAGATATACAGTACGATTTTGATTGCAAAGATCAGAAATTACCAAAGAGCTTGCAGCCCTTTGATTTAATATTACTTTTCTGCTAATTGCAGTGTATGTGCCTGAAATAATGCTTAAAAGAGCACCTGAGGTCTTCCTCCACCAGTAAAGCTGGAAAGTAGCCATATGACCTATACTGTGTTGGTGCAGCACAAAACACCCAACAAAAAATTGTTGTACTGGAAATTTTTATGCTCCCCGAAAAATTTCGGGGGAGCATATAGTCGCCGCCTTATCCGTCCGGCTTTCCGTCCGTCCGTCCGTCCCTTTTTCTTGTCCCCGTCCCCTTTTCTTGTCCGGGACATATCTTTGAAACAACAAGAGGTATCAACATGAAACTTTGTAGGTAGATAGATCTCATTGAGTAGGTGTGCAGTGCACAAGAACCGTAACTCTGCCTTGCCTAATTTTTGAATTATTCCCCTTCGTTTATTTTTACACTTTGAACTTTGTCCGGGACATAACTCTAAAAGTATAAGAGGTATCAACATGAAACTTTGTAGGTAGATAGATCTCTTTGAGTAGGTGTGCAGTGCACAAGAACCGTAACTCTGCCTTGCCTAATTTTTGAATTATCCCCCTTTGTTTATTTTACACTTTGAACTTTGTCCGGGACATAACTCTAAAAGTATAAGAGGTATCAACATGAAACTGTGTAGGTAGATAGATCTCATTGAGTAGGTGTGCAGTGCTCAAGAACCGTAACTCTGCCTTGTCTTATTTTTGAATTATCCCCCTTTGTTTATTTTACACTTTGAACTTTGTCTGGGACATAACTCTAAAACTATAAGAGGTATCAACATGAAACTGTGTAGGTAGATAGATCTCATTGAGTAGGTGTGCAGTGCACAAGAACCGTAACTCTGCCTTGCCTAATTTTTTAATTATCCCCCTTTGTTTATTTTACACTTTGAAATTTGTCGGGGACATAACTCTAAAACTATAATAGGTATCAACATGAAACTTTGTAGGTAGATAGATCTCATTGAGTAGGTGTGCAGTGCACAAGAACCTTTACTCTGCCTTGCCAAATTTTTGAATTATCCCCCTTTGTTTATTTTACACTTTGAAATTTGTCCGGGACATAACTCTAAAACTATAATAGGTATCAACATGAAACTTTGTAGGTAGATAGATCTCATTGAGTAGGTGTGCAGTGCACAAGAACCTTTACTCTGCCTTGCCAAATTTTTGAATTATCCCCCTTTGTTTATTTTGCACTTTGAACTTTGTCCAGGACATAACTCTAAAACTATAATAGGTATCAACATGAAACTTTGTAGGTAGATAGATCTCATTGAGTAGGTGTGCAGTGAACAAGAACCTTAACTCTGCCTTGCCTAATTTTTGAAGTATCCCCCTTTGTTTATTTTTACACTTTGAACTTTGTCGGGGACATAACTCTAAATGTATAAGAGATATCAACATGAAACTTTGTAGGTAGATAGATCTCATTGAGTAAGTTTGCAGTGCACAAGAACTGTAACACTGTCTTGCCTACTTTTGGAGTTATTGCCCTTTGTTCATTTTGACACTTTGAACTTTGTCCGGAACATTACTCTAAAATTATAAGAGATATCAACATGAAACTTTGTAGATAGATAGGTCTCATTGGGATGAAGTGCAGTGCTTAAGAATCATTACTCTGCCTTGCCTTACTTTGAAGTAATTGCCCTTTGTTAATTTTTACTTTTTGACTTTTGTCTGGGACATAACTTTAAAACTATTAGAGATATCAACATGAGACTTTGTAGGTAGCTAGATATAATTGGATAGAACTGCAATGCTTAAAGAACCTAAACAAAGCCTGGTCTAATTTTGGAGTTATTGCCCTTTGTTCATTTTTACACTTTGAATTTTACCCGGGACATAACTCTGATATCATCAGGAAACTTTATAGATAGATAGATCTCATTGAATAGAAGTGCAGTGCAAAAAAACATAACTCCGCTTTGCCTAATTTTGGAGTTTTTGCTCTTTGTTCATTTTTTTTATACTTTCCTGTGTCCAGAACCTTCTCGGGGAGCATCACCCGGTTCAACCGGTTCTTGTTTTAGTAATCTGTCTTAGGAAGATATACCTTGTATGGAATATATACCCTGTAAGGAATATATACACTGTACTAATAGTAGATTACTGAACATTTCAGATCATTCCATTTTGAAGATCTGCGTATAGATGAAGCATTGCGTCAGTATTTGGAAGCTTTCAGACTGCCAGGGGAAGCCCCTGTTATCTCATTGGTCATGGAACATTTTGCTGACCATTGGCATGTATGTATTGTATCAAATTCAGATTTGTGTAGGGTAATTTAATATCAGAGAACTATCTTAGCTAACAGTAGAAAGTTGATGGTTCTACTCAAGTGCTCAATGAACACCTGTGGGCTTTCCCTTCTTGGGGAATAGCTGGAAAGTAACCAAATAAGGTTTAATAGCAGTGTTGATTTGACTTTAATAAAAAGCAAAGAGATATTTATGTCACTTACACATTGCCAGTTTGCTGAAGATTTCTGTACACAATAAATGGCTTATTAATTCAAAAAAAAAATGAAAAAAAATCTTTAATTTCTCTGCATACTTCTGCAAGAAGAATTTGTCTCACCATTTTAGTCAAAAGAAGAAAATAGAATTTCTTTATTTACATAATATTATTTATTTCTTAATATATTTTAAATTTTGACTTTTGTTAAATTTTTTCCAGAAATCGAACGGAGAGCCTTTCCACAATGCTGATGCAGCATTCACATTGGGTTATGCTATTATAATGTTAAATGTTGATCAACATAATCATAATGTGAAGAAACAGAATATTCCAATGACTGTTGAGGTAAGCAGAATTCTCTGTGGTCATTTCTTATCCATCAGATATTGAGCATAATCATTAATATGCTCATCCATAACCCTAGGGCCAATTGGCAGCAACAGATTCTACCCATGCAAGCAGTGCAGACCAACATCAACCAGCACATCCATGCATTCTGTTCATGGTCTGTCTGCACTGTTTGTTATTGCTATATTTGAGTTATTTAGCATGGTAAGAGATGATTATAGGAATTGACACACTCTGCTTTTGATTTTGAACGTTTCATTATGAACCTAAGAGATTTCTATATAAAAATTCTAAATTTTTACTTTTTACAGATAAAATATGTGACTTAATTATCAAAATGTTGAGATTGTGTAACTAGACTGGCTATATTGGTGGCATAATAAAACAATGACATAAACAAGCTTTGATGTTTTACAGGAGTTCAAGAAAAATCTTACAAAGACAAATGGTGGTGAAGACTTTGAGAGTGAAATGCTGGTAGAAATTTATAATGCCATCAAGTAAGTTTACCTCAAATATCATTTACTTTCAGTGTTATTTTAAGATTTCTGAAAAGAAATATTTATAGTATAAGTGGTAAGAAAAGATGTTATTTTGTTAAATCTTTATATTGAGAGTGAAATTTGAAAGATCAGCACATATAGAACAGATATGATTTATTTTAAATTTCAAGCAACACAAAAAAAATGGGGTACGGTTAAGGTTGTCTGTAATAACAAAAATACTTCTAATAAGAACATGTATGATATTAATTGTGACCATTTGTGAATTGCATTAAGGCCTGCATGATGGAAACAACACTCGTTTCATGTTGTTAATATTTTTATGCCACCGCAGCATCTGCGATGCGGTGGCATATAGCGATTCACCTGTGTGTGTGTGTGTTTGTTTGTGTGTGTGTGTGTGTGTGTGTGTGTGTGTGTGTTATATAGATTATATAGTGAACTTAAAAAATCTTCTTGTGAAAAACCAGTAGTCCAATTTCAACCAAACTTGGCAGGATTGATCCTTGGGTGAAGGGCTTCCAAAGTTGTTCAAAGAATTTCATTCCATGCAGAAATCTGGTTGCCATGGCAACCAAAAGGAATTATAAGAACAAATTTAAAAAATCTTCTTGTAAAGACCCAAAATGCCTAGAGCTTAGATATTTTGCATAAGGCATTGTCTGGTAGACCTCTACCAAGATTGTTCAAATTATAGCCCTGGGGTCAAAATCAGCCCCGCCCCGGGGTCATTGATTTTCAATATATGTACATATAGTAAAAACTTAAAATACCTTATTGTAAAGACCCAAATAGCCTAGAGCTTAGATATTTTGCATAAGGCATTGTCTGGTAGACCTCTACCAACATTGTTCAAATTATAGCCCTGGGGTCAAAATAGGCCCCGCAACCAAAAGGAATTATAAGAACAAATTTAAAAAATCTTCTTGTAAAGACCCAAAAGGCCTAGAGCTTAGATATTTTGCATAAGGCATTGTCTGGTAGACCTCTACCAAGATTGTTCAAATTATAGCCCTGGGGTCAAAATCGGCCCCGCCCCGGGGTCATTGATTTTCACTATATGTACATATAGTAAAAACTTAAAATACCTTATTGTAAAGACCCAAATAGCCTAGAGCTTAGATATTTTGCATAAGGCATTGTCTGGTAGACCTCTACCAACATTGTTCAAATTATAGCCCTGGGGTCAAAATAGGCCCCGCCCCGGGTCATTGTTATATAGATTATATAGTGAACGTAAAAAATCTTCTTGTGAAAAACCAATAGTCCAATTTCAACCAAACTTGGCAGGATTGATCCTTGGGTGAAGGGCTTCCAAAGTTGTTCAAAGAATTTCATTCCATGCAGAAATCTGGTTGCCATGGCAACCAAAAGGAATTATAAGAATAAATTTAAAAAATCTTATCTTATGTACATATAGTAAAAACTTAAAATACCTTATTGTAAAGACCCAAATAGCCTAGAGCTTAGATATTTTGCATAAGGCATTGCCTGGTAGACCTCTACCAAGATTGTTCAAATTATAGCCCTAGGGTCAAAATCGGCCCCGCCCCGGGGGTCATTGATTTTCACTATATGTACATATAGTAAAAACTTTAAATACCTACTTGTAAAGACCCAAAAGGCCTAGAGCATAAGGCATTGTGTTGTAGACCTCTACCCAGATTGTTCAAATTATAGCCCTAGGGTCAAAATCGGCCCCGCCCCGGGGGTCATTGATTTTCACTATATGTACATATAGTAAAAACTTTAAATACCTACTTGTAAAGACCCAAAAGGCCTAGAGCATAAGGCATTGTGTTGTAGACCTCTACCCAGATTGTTCAAATTATAGCCCTGGGGTCAAAATCGGCCCTGCCCCGGGGGTCATTGGTTTTCGTTATATGTATATAGTAAAAACTTTAAAAAAATTACTTCTAGCAATTGACAAATGCTAGAGGTTAGATATTTTGCATGAAACATTGTGTAGTGAACCTCTAGCACGATTGTTCAAATTATAGCCCTGGGGTCAAAATTGCCCCCGCCCCGGGGGTCATTGATTTTCAATATATACATATAGTAAAAAATAAAAAAAAATCTTATTGTCTGTAGGTACAAGGTACAAGGCTTCAAAAACTTAAAATACCTTCTTGTAAATGCCCAAAAGGCCTAGAGCTTAGGTATTAATGCGGTGGCATAGCATTTTTCTCAAATGCAATCTTGTTTTAATAAGTTTGTGGCTTTGTCGTGTCTTCCAGGACGGATGAAATTGTCATGCCATCAGAACACACGGGTCTAGTTAGAGAAAATTACTTGTGGAAGGTAAATTTATATTTTGTAAATGCACTTACTGTTTAACATGATATATCTAAATAATGGATTGTTCCAGTTTTGTATATGCAACTTTCCATTTGTATTTTCAAGAGATGTCTTTAAAATGTGAAAAAAATTAAGCAGTGAACAATTTATAGTCTGATTAAACATCATATATACTATTTGACATAATTTACACACAAAATTTTACATTTTAGGTGTTATTAAAAAGAGGCAATACAAAAGAGGGTTTATTTACCCACGCCCCCACGGGAGCTTTCGACCATGACCTATTTACACTGATCTGGGGACCAACAGTAGCAGCTCTGTCATTTGTGTTTGACAAATCAACATCAGATGAATCTATTATCTCAAAGGCAATATCAGGCTTCAGGTAGGAGAGAGATGGATCTAATGTTAATATTAAATGAGAGAGGTGGATCTAATGTTAATATTGAATGAGAGAGGTGGATCTAATGTTAATATTGAATGAGAGAGGTGGATCTAATGTTAATATTGAATGAGAGAGGTGGATCTAATGTTAATATTGAATGAGAGAGGTGGATCTAATGTTAATATTGAATGAGAGAGGTGGATCTAATGTTAATATTGAATGAGAGAGGTGGATCTAATGTTAATATTGAATGAGAGAGGTGGATCTAATGTTAATATTGATGGATAAATTTTATTGGTATAGAAGTATTGGTTGTGAAATATTTTTATGTCCACAGTGAGTTTATACATGTATGAATATAGATAACATAGCAAAATCATGTAAAATGTTTTGTCAGTGAAACAGAGTCTGGCCTTATGAGTATTTGAAAATTTATCTTATATCAGAATTTTAGACTGTATATGTTACAGAATAATTGATTCTGATAAAAAAAGCATAAAGAGTTTTTTGTTTTGTTTTTTTTTGTAAACGTCTTGTGACAAAATTAAATCTATGCTTTTAAATAGTGATAAATATGTATAAAACGATGTGTTTGTTTGTTTGTAACAGGAAGTGTGCAATGATATCAGCTCACTATGGAATGAGTGATGTGTTTGATAATCTAGTCATATCTCTGTGCAAGTTTACTACTCTACTTAGTTCTGTCGAGGTAATGTTTTACCCTTACTCTGCAATATTTAATTACATGTAATTAACTTGGTGACTCCAAACTACTTCTCACCACTGTAGGTTCGAGCGACACAAGTGAAGTTGGATTCTACTTGTGAGAAAGCTATCAATCTAGCTTACCGAACGTCAGTGGGTCTACTCAGGTGCCTGTGTATGCATAAAATAATGTACAGAGGGTCAACTGAGGTCTTCCTCCGCCAGTAAAGCTGGAAAGTTGCCATATGACTTATACTGTGTTGGTGCAATGTGAAACTGAACAAAAAAAAAAACCCCATCAACTTGGTAGACTCCTTAAAATTGTTTAATGACCATTGTTTTCTAACAGACTGCAATATAATTGAATTATATAAGGAGTTGACCTGTTACTGCTCTAAGGTGAGGATATGTTATTACATAAACCTCAGTTATATTCTGAAGAAGTCTAAATGTCATTAACACAGGTGTTCGGCGTGTTCGGCCATGGCCACTTTACCCCCATTCCCCCTCTACAACCAAAACCCTTAAACATCATCCAAACATAATAAGTATTGACAAAATCAATTATATTAGAGAAAAAATTTATGAAGAACAAAAAATTAAAGGGTATTTTACTTTACTTTCATTTTGTATAGAAAAATTGCTAGCATTTCAATTTCAGCGCATATATTCATCAAATTTACACTGATCTTAACAATTCTGGTGTCAAATCATAGAAGAAAAAAATACTCTTTAAGGAAGCATCACTGAAAGGATCGCTGGTTATACATAGCAAGTAATATTCAAGCCCAAACTGTCAAGAAAATGAGACTTGACAGAGATCTGCTTGCACTGTTTTGGTACAACTCTCTTGAGTAAAACCCACTGAACTCATAATGAATGAATACTTTTTGTATTGTGCATTTAAATATGATAAAATCAAATTATCATTTGTAATAACTTTTCAATCAAATTATCATATGAAACTATAACACACCTTTTCCGATGTCTCAAATTCTCAAATTTTATTTGTCATATTTAGGCCCCAGAGACTATTCCTATATCATTTGGCATGAACAAGAAGGCACAGCTGGCTGCTAGGACAGTGTTTAGCCTGGCACACAGACATGGTGATATCTTACGAGAGGGTTGGAAAAATATTCTAGACTGTATGTTACAGCTGTACAGGGCTAAACTACTACCAAAAAGTATGATAGAGGTAAATATCCAGATTTGTTATATGTCATTTGTCATACTTAGGCCCCAGATAATATTCCTATACCATTTGGTATGAACAAGAAAGCACTCTGTTTATGTACAGATAAGTCTGGCCTCCATGAAAAACTCACTATTTTGAAATAAATTTCCTAGTATACATGAAATGATATTTATAGATTATGATGGAAGAATCACTATCCTTTTAACTGTGTAATCATTGGACCTGGTTCATAAAATTGAAATGTATAGCATAATGGGTGTTAAATATAGCATTAATGATGAAGGTCATTGGACTTATTTCTTAATACTTGACCTACATCTCTCAGAATATATATGCAAATGAGTGAACAATCTGTATGGTAAATTATTTTTTACATGGTAAATGGTTGTAACAGTTATATTTGCTCAACTCTAAATGTATTAAGTTCTGTATTTGGTTGTAGTGAGATTTAATGAAATTTTATTTTTAACAGGTTGAAGATTTCTTAGCACCCTCCGGGAAAATTTGTCTTATAAAGGAAGAAAGTCAGTCAAACCAGAGATCAGAGTCCGGCTTCTTGAGTAGTGTGTACTCATACTTTGCTACACCTGAGGCGGCAACCAGCAAAGGTCCGAGCCCAGAGGAAGAAGAGGCTACAAAGTATGCCACAAAATGTATACGAGACTGTCAACTAGAACAGCTGATTGTTGACAGTAAATTCCTTAGAGAAGAATCATTACATGAGCTTATAAAGGTAAAAACTTGTATATGTTAAATGATAGTTTGTTCAACTGTTTTACAATTTTTATTGCAAAAAACTTCCTTGTATATTTCAAATATGTGAAACATACAATATGAAATACAGGTGAAAGTGATGTAGATTGAAAATCTGTATATACCTACATCCTATTGTTTTTATTGCAAGTTAGAATTGCCATAAAGTCTTACCAAATGGTAAATTGGGGTAAAGGATGGGGTGGCTTAAACAAAGTAGGAGGCTTAAATGAGTGGAAAATATGGGAGACATATTTCAATGGTCATTATTAGAAGTATGAGTTATATTAATACATGTTAAGAGAAGTTCTTATGAATTGAGCGAGTGTTAAACATATGTACATAATTTCAGGCATTGATATTTGCGTCACAAGGACCCGAGGCTCATGAATCTATGGGGACGATATATGATGAAGACGCAGCAGTGTTCTTCTTTGAACAGTTTATAACATGTATTCTACAAAATAGGTTTGTCATTTTTCTGTATATTTTAAAATTAACATTAACTAAAAGGTGTGATTTGAATTAATTTGAAAAGCTAATGCCCATCTAAATAATACAATACTCGCCATATTTTACAATACATGCTGGTGTCATATGAAAAAATATGCTTGTGACTGCAGTTGGGCTTACACTCTCTTTCTCTGGGTTTGGTGGCAGACACCTTGTCCACTTAGCCACCACCCCATCTATGAATGATGATGATTACAGTATTTTAGATTATAAAGTAAGGTTTATTTAATTTCTTCCAGGGATAGAGTGAGTCCAATATGGCAGTCAGTACGTGAACACATTTACAGTTTAATGGTAAATGCTGCAGAACACACTTTCATGGGAGAGCGTGCAGTCGTCGGACTTTTACGTATTGCCGTAAGACTTTTACGACGTGAAGAAATTGCCCCGCAGGTGCTTTCATCTATTCAGATAATGTTAATGATGAAACCCCCAGTTATTCATGACTTTCATATAAGTGAGCAGATTTCGTATGGATTACACGACCTGTTACGGACAAACGCAGCAAACATTCATTCCAGTCATGACTGGTATACAATATTCATGCTTTTAGAGGTTGTAGGTGCTGGAGTTAATCCGCCACCAGTCTTACAAGTGAATAATGGAGTCAATGTGACTGAAGGTCTAATAGAAGCAGGTAAGATATTTTTGGTAAAAATGTTTAATACTTTAGGGATAAACTTTTTTAGCACAACTATTCAAAGAATAGTTGGAGCTATTTTATAAGTGGATGTTGCCGCCACACTTTGGTTAAGTTTTTGCATGCAAGTTTGTATTCCAAAAACTACTGAAACTTCACACACTTATTTGAAAGCATAACTAGAAGGTCACTGTCCAAGGCCCATAACTCTAACATTGATTTTGATAGAATAATGGCCCTTTTTAAATTAGAAATTATACATTATTCAGGATCTTGTTTTACTATCAAGTACTGAGAATAGCTGAGCATGATATCCTTCTGACAGCTCTTGTCAGATTTTAAGAAAATTTTTGAAGTTGGTTTTTTCATCGTAGTTAGTTATTTATGGTATGTTTGCACAGGTTTAAAAAATTAAGCATTCTTCAAGACTGTTTACCCAGTTTTAGTCAACTTCGCAGTTGGAATCCTGAGTTTGGCATATATTTTTTTTCTGGCAGTTGACATCGAAGTGTTTTTATTTCATTCATCCTTGACAATGGTTTTAAATGATTTTCTCAGAATTTTTGTTGTTACTTGTTGGAAAACCGGTTTGTACTGAAAAATAATAAAACTGTCTAGCTGGTAACAGACTGAAAAACTGCTAAACCCAACAAAACAATAAGGATTGCCTTGCAAAGTTAAAAAAATTCAAGCACAAATTAAGTATAAAAAACAGAAGATATATGTATGCTTAATTTTGAGAGTTATAAACAGATGTCATCTTAAATTGTCAATACAATTATAACAATAACAGTTATGCAGAGGCCATTTTGTGTAAGCAATTGACACAGAAAACATAAGTCCAGCATGATACCATGGAAGGTCTGCAGAGCTTGTTATATTATTTAGAGGTGAATTTTCATGTCATAGATCATATGCATTCTGACAAGGAAAATATATCTTTGTACTTGTATATTTATATAAAAACATGTATATTTGTATGTATACAGGTGCCCAGAGTGATAGTGAGCTGCCCAGTAACAGTAGTGTTATATCAGGGGGAACTGACCGTGGTTATACCTCCGATAGTGAGTTAGAGACCAGGAATAGAGTCGCACCAGCTGACTTTGAGGTACGAGCTATTCCAGAAAATGGAAGCTGGATGCTGGTAAGCAATTTTGTCATTGATATTTATTGCTGTAGTTTATAAAAAAATTTAAATGATACTTTTAGAAGTGTTGAAATAATATAAAAAAAAGAGTAGGATTTGAAGAGTTTTCCATATACATGTACCATGTTCTGTAGTCCTCATACTATTGTAATTGACAATTGCATGAAGCAGAACTGTTTTGACTTAGTCCTTTGTTTTATAGTTTGACTCATACAAAATCAATTATTGTAAGAATACATTTAAGTAACATTTTTTCTACATCTTTATTGCAAAATATGACCCTCTCAGGGAGTTTTGCTGTAAATTCCTTTTCAATCATTTTGTCTACAACAAAAATATGTATTTATGAGAAAGCATCATCAGTTAATATTGTAAGCTAAACCCTTTTGCTAGTTCTACGCAGGTTACTGTCAAGCTTTATGCGTAGTTGGAAGCAATAAATGTTGTTTTTTATATAAATTATATATTTTTTCTGCAGGTAAATAAAGATGAGCAACCATACAAGAAGCTTGCACCAGTAAATCAGTACAGTATAGAACTAAACGAGCATGTTCAGATCTGTGATAGTAAATCTTTGTTGAAATCCTCGGAAACGTTATCATTCCTGGTACGAGATGCAGCCCACGTCACACCACTTAACTTTGAAAGCTGTGTTCATGCAATTCGGGCATTTGCCGAGGCATCCTTAAATGGAGGTATATCAAATATTCATTCATTGTCAACAAGCCTTATTGAATACTTAATAATTTTGTTGTTACATATTTTTTTAGCTTGCCCGAGCTAACTCAGGGTGAGCGTTTAGGATCGTTGAATGTCCGTCATCCGTCGTCTGTTCACACCTGTTCATTAACACTCTAGCGGTCACATTTTTGCCACAATCATCATCAAACTTTGTTAGGATGCTTATCTAGGTAATAGATGGGATGAGTTCGAAATGGGTCATCTCAGATGCAAAACTAGGTCAAAGGAGCTAAAAATAGAAAAACCTTGTTAACACTCTAGCGGTCACATTTTTGACTCAATCATCATCAAACTTGGTCAGGATACTTGTGTTGGTAATTGCTTGGAGTAGTTCGAACCTGGGTCATCTCGGATGAAAAGTTAGGTCACAGGAGCTAAAAATAGAAAAACCTTGTTAACACTCTAGTGGTCACATTTTTGACTCAATTATCATCAGACTAGGTCAGGATGCTTTTCTAGGTAATTCCTCGGATTAGTTTGAACATGGGTCATCTCGGATGAAAAACTAGGTCACAGGAGGTAAAAATAGAAAAATCTTAACACTCTAGTGGCTACTGTTTTGATCCAAGTATTCTGGAAATTGGTCTGAAAGTTTGTTTTGATGATTTCTAGGTCACGTTTGAATATGGGTCACCTAGGGTCAAAAACTAGGTCACACTGCTCAAATATGGATAATCCTTGTTAACACTCTAGTGGTTATTATTCTAGGACTCAGTAGTTTATAGTTAACAAACAAACAACAACAAACTGTTTATATTCTATTTATGTAACGAGGCACGTCATCAGACATTTCATCAATAAAAACATATTAAGTATTTTCAGTTGGTTTGTGAAATATTACTGCTTTGTCGAGAAAAAGAGGGCGAATACCGAAATGATCGCCTTTATATATGACTTGATACGTCATAATGACTTACTTCTCCCGGCGCGAGATTTTGGGCGTGTACTTAAGGCCAGACTAAAATGCTTTATAGGTTATGGACATGTCACTGAGCCATAATAAAGTAGATTAATATTAAGAATTAATCTTGATAGTTTTAACTCACCTGTCATGAAACTTGGTCAGAATGTTTGTCTAAGTAATTGTTCGGATGAGTTAGATGGGTCAAGTGAGCGATCTAGTGCCATCTTGGCTCTCTTGTTTAAGCTTTGTTAAGATTTCTTAGCCACTTTCAGTGCCTTTAAAAGAAAATGTTTATATTAAGAGTTTTTCAAGGAATTACCTGACATCTACAAAACTTTAATCAAAATGACAAATGAAAGAATATAATGCAAGCTATACACATATATTGTGATGTGTTCCCAGATATTTTTATAGCTGGTGTATGATTCCTTGTGTAATTTTAGTATTTGACAATGAAACAGTAAATTTTGATAATAGTTAAGACCATCTTGGCAAAACATTCAAAACTATCTTTTTACAGGTCATAAAAAAGTAACTGTCTCGCCAAAGCATACAAAAGATAGGAAAAGTAAATATAAACAGAAGAAGCATGCAGCGTCACGTATGAAGAAATCACATTCTAGCCCCAGTCAGATACATATGACAACGAGTTCGGACGAGGAGAACGAGGCCGAGGGCTTAGATGCTGAACTACACTCACTATCTATACAGGTACACTTCTCACTTCTATACAGGTACACTTCACTGTCACGCAGTTTATTATCAAGTATTACACTTTTTGTGACAACTTTGATTTGAGATATCAAGTTGTGTACATTTAGCATTAGAAAAGATATGGCCATGTCCAGAAGTATTATAAAAGGTTATTAAAGCCATACAGCTGAAATTGCTGACTGATAATTACGGTTCTTATTCAGATCTGCATAGGAAAGTCTTTTATATTAGGTAGGTAACTAGCTGCCGAGACAATTGTTTCCATTGGGGTGTCAGCTATTTCCTGAAATAATGCATCCATAAATTGATGAATTTGTTCTTTTTCTAACAGTGAAGATGATACTTGATTCTCAATAGATAATGGCATAGCATTCTATAAGTATATATAGCTGCCTTGTCAAAGACTATTGTTCCCATTCAGGTGTAAGCTATTTCCTGAAATAATGCATCCATAAATTGATGAATATTTTGTTTTCTGACAGTGAAGATAATACTTGATGAAGGGAAAATGGCATAACCTTCTTTTAGTTTATATGCCTCGAAATTGTCTTTGTTAAAGACAGGTCTTCATTGCTGTAAAAAAAAAAAGTTCAAAAACTTTTGACGTAGTGATTTTACTCATATTTTCATTAACCATGCATTAATATTTTTGTTTTCAGTTATTAGATCTGATGCATACCCTGCACACTAGAGCTAACAGTATTTATTCCTCATGGGTGGAGGAAGGCCATGCTGGTGATTCAGAGAGGGCTATAGTAGAAACAGGGTCAGGCTCACTGTGGATCAAATGCTGGTGCCCATTATTACAAGGTGAGTGTTAAAACAGTATAAATAATCATGGTTCAAAATGTTGGTGCCCATTATTACAAGGTGAGTGTTAAAACAAAGTTTAAATAATCATGGTTAAAAATTGTTGGTGCCCATTATTGCAAGGTCTTCTTTAAAACAATGTTTAAAATTTTAATGATATTAGATTTTTATAAGGATTCATCAAGTAAAATGTTCACAGGAACAATTATTAAGAGCATATAACTTCAACTTTTGTGTAAAGAAACTGTTGTGTAAAGAAACTGGAAAAATTAAAGGACTTGTGTATACATGTATTTGTTATACATGTTGTTGTTTAGAAATATGTTTACTTCATGTAATATTTATGTCAATGTTAGTTAGGCTACATTGTCTTGATTATCTCATTAATTATGATTAATAGTTTGTAAATCCAGTTATATAAATGAAAATATTTTCTAAAATCTATCAAGCATCTAAAGTTACATGGTAACAATATGATTTTTAAATTTGCAGGTATCGCTCGACTCTGCTGTGATGCAAGAAGACAGGTCAGAGGTCAGGCATTGACCTATTTACAGAGGGCATTACTTGTCCATGACCTTCAGACTCTTTCTGCTGTAGAATGGGAGGCTTGTTTTAATAAGGTAAAAAAAACATAGATGTTCATGTACATTGTTTTACATATATACAGTTATATTTTGAATGATGTGTTGTCTAAATTTATGGAAAGAAGTTGGTTATCATTGCATCATACATGTATAGTTAACATTGTAAACTGATAGATATTTTTAGTGAAGCAATTTTTTGAGTGCTTGATTTTCAGGAATATTAATTCATTTGGCCATGTGTTTGAAAGTTTAAAGCAGTTTAAAGCTGTAGATAGCAATCTGTTGAAAAGGAAATGTAAAAGCTATTTGTCCTGCTCATTACAGACACATGTATTAAATATAACATTCCCTGACAGTGGTTATTTCAAACAAAGATAGTATTTCAGATAATTTTGTCTACATTGAAAGTCCTGCAAGTTCATTTGATATTAAACAATAGGTGAGGATGATTCTGTGTCAGAGATTTTGACAATTGTTGATTTTAGAATAACTTAACATATTTTTTTCAGCAAATATTTGTTATAAATCACAATTGTAGGGGAGTAATAGTCGATTTAATGCACTGAATATGGTTTAAAAAATATAAAACCTTTAAAAAAATACTTATATAAACTTTTATTTACATTTTAGATATTATTTCCACTGCTGACAAAGTTATTAGAAAGTATAAATACCCAGGATCCATCTGGCATGGAAGAGACGAGAATGAGAGCTTCAACTCTTCTTTGTAAAGTAAGATAATCCATGCAAATAATATAGAAGCGTTATAATTTTGCAATTAACCTTAAGGTCATAGATTGTATTGTAATACTGATAAATTTGAAATCTGTTTATAGAATATTGTGATTAGATATGAAGGTGGACATAGACTCACTTCATCAAGAAAATATATTGGAGCCATATGCATGTACATGTAAAATCAACATTAAAAAAAGTGTGTGAAAAGTTTTTTTAGAGGATGAATAGTAATTTGTATGTTTTGTTTGCATTTCAGGTATTTCTGCAGCATTTGAGTCCATTATTATCTTTGAGTACATTTACAGCACTTTGGCTCACTATTTTAGACTTTATGGACAAATACATGCATGCTGATAGAAGTGATCTTCTTGTAAGTTATAAGATATTTTACAACATTTACACTTCAGATAAAAATGCATTTAGTTAAACCTGTTTTGAGAAGATCTGTATACAAGCAGTTGGATTGCTTCATGGTAAAACTGTAAAAACCAACTGGTGTTGGTTCAAATTTAAAGTTTCATGTGAGGAGGTTTTCATTGTAGCTTTAAAGGGTTAGTGGTTCTACTTTGATACTATCTTGTGCCTGATATTATGAACAGTGGTGCATTTGAGGTCTCCCAACACCAGTAAAGCTGGAAAGTAGCCTTGACCTGTACATGATTTAAAACCCAAGAAGGATGATAGACAAGACATACAGGCAGATTTTTTTCTAAAAAGCAAATAAGTGCAATTAAAGTTAAAGTATGAAAAAAATTGCATATTTCTTTTGATAATGTGAGAATGTGAAGCTGTTTCAACGCTAGTCTCTTATTACTAACCTGAGTAATCATAAATGAAATGTGGGAAATGAAATCTTTACTTACAAAATCCCATAACTTGGCTGTAAATTATTTAATTTGTGTACTTTATTTTTATCTGCCAGGCTGAGGCAATACCGGAGTCTCTTAAGAACATGTTACTGGTGATGGATACTGCAGGGATATTCCAGAATGGCGATGAAGTAGACTCGCAACTGTGGCGTCTCACCTGGGATCGTATAGATACATTTCTACCTCATCTGAAAGAAGAGCTCTTCAAGCCATCTGACCATGGTAACTCATTAGTGCTTTACTATGGATGAAATAGAAATACTCTCATTTTTGGTTACATCAGAGATAGTTTGATGTGACACATTTGCTATATTATTAGACACTGTCTTATTGCATTTGTGTAATGGACAATCCCTACTTTGAAATGGAACATTCTTTTGTCATTGTAGTTAAAAGGATTTGTAGTTAAATGGAATTCAATATAAAGACAGTTAAATTGTGTAGTTTAAATTTTAGCGTCTGGTCAGGCTATATGCTTTCCATAATCTGTAATTTTTGCATACTAGAATGTTTATGGTTATCATTTATAGAGTTCTTTAGGTTTGCCAATTAAGTGTAGGAGTGATTTTCAAAATTTGAACTGTTGTGTTTGTCATTTTTTACCACATTAGTTGACAGTGTGTTTTAAATAAAAAAAAAATTTGTAATCTCTTATTTACAAAAAGAATTCATTCCTTACATTTTTGCTGATTTCTAACTTGTCATATAGAACCATCAAAGCTGGCAATGGATCGTGAAGAGACACCAACCCCAGAGGCAGAGTCATCTCCCATGTTGTCAGGGGCAACACATGACCTGACAGTGACGTCTGCTGCAGACAGTAAAGGTATGACATGTTATATTATCTCCTCAGTGCCAGATTATTGTATCTGCGGAAAATTAATGTCTATGTGGGTTGGTGAAAGTTTCTTCTTTCAAATCACTATTTCCTCAGAGTTGTAGATTCTTATCTTGCCGTTGAACTTCAAAAATTTTCATGTCAGGAAGTCCAAAGTCTGATGTGACTCTACTGCTCATCTGGACATACAAGTTTTTCATCTAAATCAGAGCTGGAAGAGCACTATTTGACATCTACAGTGCCAATGTGGCTTCCCCCCCCCCCCCCCCCCCAAAAAAAAAAAAAAATAAATTAAAAAAAAACATCTATGTGCATATAGATGTAAAAGCAGATACAATGGTCTTGCGCTGAGGTAGTGATATTTATATATACACATGTGTATAAATATATGCAAAATATTACAACAAAAGCCTTAATATAGTAATAGAAATACAAATATAGTCATATAGTTGATAAATATACTGGTATTTAATTATTTAATTTATGAAATATGCACCAGGCCTTTAAGATTTATTTTAAAGTGATGAAGTAAAATTTAACATGGGACTACAAGTAAACTAGAGAGGCATAAAGACTATAAGGGAATCTATATTATTTGTGATAATCCGAGGAAAATTCTGAAAGAAAATAAATTCTTAAATGTCACTAATTATGAAAATAATAAAGGTGGTGTTGGTCACTATTAACAGTTTTTATATTAGAGTATGCTTCTTTGTATAATGCTTAATCAAACTAATGCAGATAATATAAAAGACCAGTTTTTAATGAAGTAATATTAAATAAATTTGAATTTTTTATGTATTGCTGTGAATTCATTAACTAATTAAGCTCCTGCTGATGGAAGTCACATGGCACCCGAGAATGATCAACCAAGCTCTCCAGGTAACGCTGATCATTGCTTAGCAACAGAAGAAAACTTGCCGTCTGCATCTTCCTACTTTCTGCATACGCCATTACCCACAGTTCCAAGCTCTCACATTGCCAATACAACATCTAGTCCTTCAAAAATGGTCACCTCAGATAAGTCAGTTCCGAGTCTTTCAAAAAGTACGAGCGAGCCAGTGTTGAGCCCTGGTGTGCCCTTGCTGCTTAATCCAGAGCTTATGAAAGGTACAAGCATACATATAGTGTCCCCGCAGGTTCATGTAAGTATAAAGCTAAGTAGTATCCCATAATGCCTTGAGGGTGTATGGATATCTGCCAACCTGCTTGCCTTTACCTGCATGGGAATTTACGGTAAACTGTATGTGTGTAATTAATTAATTACGGTAATTTTTGTGCCTCGTTTCTGCTATTGTAAATAGTGCTAAAAATATAATATATAAAAAAATGAGACCCATTTTCATAGAAATATAAAAAAAGTAATTCCAACAAAAGTAGTTCTCATGAGAAAAATTTTTCCAAGGTTAAGATGGGATTTGATTCATAAAACATTTATATTCAGAAGTTTTAGTAAATGATAAATTACTTTTTTCTCAACAGAAATGCGAAAGGTAGAAAAATTTTGTAGGATTGATGATTTAAATATTTGTAAGCCAAAGATGAGAGACAAAATGGTATAAACTTGGCACAGAATTTGTTTTGGGGCTATTTCAAATATTTGGAGTTCATGGTATGGATATTGAAATATAAGAAAATTATTTATTTATTTCAATTTTGTCACTGTAAAGGAAATGTTTGGGACAAATGTTCATAGTGGGAAACTTGTTTACAGTATTAGTACCTTTTATTTCTTTGAATGTTGTTTCACAATAGGATATGAATTTTTAACTTTAAGCATGATGACTGACATGCATGTCTTAATTTTCTCAAAAATCGAAAAAACTTATGTAAGTATGTGTATATATGTAACACCGAAATTTAGATATCAAGCAATAATACTATTGTATACAGCTTTTAGTTAATATAGATCTAAAATTGATAAGATTTTGATCAGTAATTTTCTTTATGTAGAATCTATTAATGCTTTGAACTTTAGTGAAAATATTGAATTTCCCATGCCAGCCAAATACAGACTGGCCAGATTGCACATCTGTGTAGTCTGACAAATCTTTCTCATAAATTTTAACATTTGAGATTGAAAATTCTTAGATAATGAATGGAAATAAAAGGTTTGAAGCAGGGCTATCTAACTATTCAAATTTAGTGGTGGTAAACCTCAAGTGCTGGTTCCATTTGAAATAAAATTTGCTACTAATATAACACTGTAATAGCATGAAGGGTAATAAAAAGGATAAAGGAATTTACTAACATTTATTTCAGTTAACTTTGTATCCCCTTTAAAGTACTTATTATGTATTGAGGTTTATGATGTTCTAAATTTGGTCCAACATTGTACATAAATTTTCATTAAATTGGATTAATTTTAGGACTGTTATTTTATATTGGTTTTGGATTGTATTATATTGTTTTTGTTTTAAAAATTGGATGATATTTACTCTTAAAAAAGATAAAACTTAAGTTTAGATCTTTTTAGCTCGCATGAGCACCAAGTGCTTAGAGGTGAGCTTTTGTGAGAAGTGATGGCTATTGTTGATGTCCTTATCCATTATGTCTTTAAACAACATCTCCAGGTAGATTTTGACCAAACTTCACAGGAATGATATAGTCGTTAGATACAAGTCTTAAAAATGATTATAGCTTGATGAATAAGTAGGTTTCAGGAGTGTGAAAAGGCTAAAAGAAACGAAACTTTAAATGTCTTTGCCTCTGAAAGTGCAATCCCCAGAGCTTAGATATTTGCATACCTTGTGGTCCTCTACAATTGTTATATAAATCATGATCCTGGGGTCAGAATTGGCCCTTGGAGTCACTATGACTACACAGACTTATATAGGAAATTTACATTTACATCTCTGAAACTATGACTGTGTCCTTTATCTAAAATATCTATATTGCATTAATTTTTGGACCTTTACAAAAGGAATACCTGTATTAAGCACGTCACTGGGGCTAAAAATGGCCCAAACCTGCGGTCACTTTTGTTACATTGACTTGTATCCCAAGAACACTTTTAAAAGTGTTTCGTTAGAAACTACAATGACTAGAGCTAAGATATTTGGCATGCAGCATTGCCTAATTGACCTTTGAATCTAAACAGTAGGGACTAAAAAGGCCTGGCCAAAGTGTGATTCCATTTACCTATTTCTGTATTGAAGAATTATGACCTTCCTTTGAAATGAATCTCAGGTTAGCAATCTAGAGCCATTTTTGCCCTCTATTAAGTACATTGTTTTTGCAAGGAGAAAATATAAAATATATATTTTGACAATTTTTGTTCTCATAGTATTTTGTTTTTGTTGTTGTTAATATTTCTCTGTAATACAATTTTGATTTTCACTTTTCAGATGGGGCCCAAATCCTCAGAGGTCAACCAGCAAACCAAACTGATAACAGAGGGCCAGTTTTACTGAATAACAAAGGAAGTCCAGTGCATGCATTGCCAGGCAACACAAGCCCCACCCACTCTATACCACTTCACTTGAGCCCGGCTCACTCTCCTGCTCAGTCAAGTCCAGTGCATTCTGGTAGCCCAGTACAAAGGGATCCAGCTCTAATGAATTATCCAATGAACAGAGTGCATCAAATATAAGATTTAGTGTAGTCAAATATTGACATAATAATTGAAAATTGAAAAAAATGCATGCGGATGTTAGCCAAAAATGTCTTTATATTGATAAATGGGTGGACCATTCTGGTAAAATAAACCCTAAATAGTTTCCTTACAAGGGTGTGTTAAAGATATTAGACTATGACTTTGTTGATCTTGACTAATTATTATTCTGTTAAATGTATTGTTCATATGTTATTTGTATTGTTTAATTGACTGCAAGCAAACGACGATTATCTTGAGTGGTGTAAATGACCGTGACCTTTTTTGTGTAAAATATAATAGGTTCCCATATGTAATAATTGGTTCTTTATTTTGACCTTGTTGTAAAGGTGGACTCAGTTGTGATATTTTTTGTTTACATATTTTAATTTATTTGTGCAATAATGTATTTGTAAATATGAAATAGCAGTAAAGTGCACATATTGTAAAAATGTAATCCATTTTGTAAATTGTTTTTGTATGTTTGGCATTGCTTTCATAAGAGAATCTTTGGAACTTTGGAATTATTTTTTTAGCTTGTACATTGTGCTAATTACATAGATTTGTATTTCCATTGAATGATTTTCCTGGAATAAAAAAGAGCATGTCCCTCACATTCAGCTGAAAGGTAGCTTGTATTTTAAAGACATTGGACTACTTAGATACATATAGAACTCTAATATGTGTTATTATTTAAGGGGGTAGATATGTTTTTATTGAAAAGCAGATGGACACTTTTTAAAGTATTTAAAACGCTTAAATGCGTTTGTTAAATAGTGTTTGATAGATCTAATTTTATCTGACTTAACGAAGATCTGATCTGAACTTCAAAAACACCAACTCAAGTGGGCGAGTTTAATGTTGATATTTGAAAGCAAAGCCCTTAGATAGTAGCCAATAAGGGAAGTTAATTTTAGACTGGTATTGGGTTATTAGCAGGATCGAAGAAAATAAATAGTTTATAACTGAAGAACTAGTTACAAGTTAATCTTTTGTCTGGCTGGTTCCCTTGAAATTTTTTCTAAGAATAAACCTAATGTTAAGGTCACATGTTAAATTTAGATGGTATACATTTTACATGAACAGTTCTTTTATTATGGCAACCAGCACACATTTTTTTTTCTTGAGAAATTTCCTGATATACTAGTATTTCATTTCTGATTTAAGTTCTTGTCATTATTTCGAGGCATATGTATATTTTCATTTTTCTGTACACATTGCATTTCATTCAGAACCAATTTTCATAACTCCTTAAAGAATTAACGAGTTTAGAAGATTCATTGTGAAAATATTCTGTATGTGTATTGATAAGGAGGTAGAGCAGTTTGTCATCAAGCTTATTATACATACAGAGTTTTGCCATTGCTTTAAAATGTACTTTTAAAGATAGACCAACATTATTGCATGTTGCTTATATACATGCATAGTCAAAGGCAATATTAATCCTTTCACAAATGGTTAAAAAGGTGCACCCTTTATTAAGTAATCCTATATTTAAATGTTCATTTGAAACAATAATTCTTTGATTTTTAGTTTGCTTTTAATTTGAAAAAAGATAAGTGATTTTAACAGGCCTAATGTCAAATGATATGGGTTATTCTGTTATAAAAAAAAAATTCACATCTTTTTATTTTTGATTTACACAATTTATATGGTATGGATACCAAGGTTATAAAGATTTTTTCCTTCACTTAATCTCAAATCCCCAGCATTTGATTGGTCAGAAACCAGCTCTGAATGTACAATGACCAATGAAAATGCTTAGATTTGAGACTGAACTCAGTAAAAAATATTTATAACCTTGAGGCCAGTACAGAAAAGGTAATTATGGATGGTTATATATTAACTGTTAACTTTGTTGTTTATATATTCATGTACTCCAGTTGATGTAAGTTTAAATTTGATTTATCTTGTGTGGCAATGTTTTTTTATAGAAGTTGAAGAAAAGATATTTTACTTGTCAGAAATGTGATTATATTGTCATTGTTGAGAAGTTATTTATGGATATTTAAATAAACTGTCAAATAAAATTACCTTATGTTCTTGTAAATGACTTTGAATAAGTCCATCAAAGCATTAAATGATGAATGATAGCTTGGTAAAATTATTCAACATGCAATTGTGTCATCTTGAAAGATTTGTTCCTCTCGACGGAAACACTGACAGGTACCTTATTGATGAGGGGTGACCATAGCAAAGTGGTTATGGTCATTGACTTCAAACCATCTGCCCCTCACCATTGTAATTTCAAATTCAACTAGGGACTGGATTCTTTTATGTGAGGGAGCGATCCAACTAGCTTACGAAACATCAGTGGTTCTACTCATCTCGCTCATGCCTGAAGTAATGCACGAAGGGGTCTTACTCCACCTTACTAGTAAAGCTGGAAAATTGCCACATGAGTCACCTCTACTGTGTTGGTGTGACAGAACCTAAAAATCAACCTACATGCTGATCTAAACTTGAGGCATATTTGAACCACTCTAAAGTCTACTTCTTTGAACTTACCAGTCCTAGTGGCATGTGAGGAAACATGACCATAATGCTGCTTGTAAATGTTTACTCCTGAAATATTACATGTTCAACACCTCTATAATACTGCTTGAAAATACAAGTTACACTACACTTTGGAAATACTGCTTGAAAATATATGTCTGACACATTGAAAATAATGCTATTTTTCATATTCTAACATCTAATAATAGCCGGTATTAAAGAATTGTGCCGAACAATACATGTTCCCATTCACTGGAAATATTGTTCCTTTACTAGAAATACTGCTAAATAATACATGTTCCCATACACTGGAAACACTGCTTGATAATAAATGTTTCTGCACCTGAGAAATACTGCTTGATAATACATATTAATATGCTGGAAATACTGCTCTCCTGCACAGGAGAAAATAAGTTTTACATACACTGGGACAATACTGCTTGAAAAAAACATTCCTACACTGGAAAAACTGCTTAGTAATACATGTTCCCATACATTGGAAATAATACTGACAATACAATGTTCAATAATACATGTCCCTACATTGGAAATACTGATTGATAGTACATTTTCCTAAACCTGACAATATGTGTGCAATACTACTTGATACACTTCATAAATACTGCTAGATAAAACATGGTACTACACTGGAAACGATGCTTGAAAATACATGTTTATACACTGGAAATACTGCTGGATAGAACAATGTTCCTACATCTTGGAAAAGATAATAGAAATAATTCATATTTTACACTTTGGAAATAATACTGGTTAGAACATTTTTCTTCAACTTGAAATACTGCTGGCAGTACATGTTCCTACATCTTAGAAATCTTTTTACTCAGAAAAGGGATGTTTAAAAGATAACTAGAACTCCACGAGTCAGATGTGTCGCTTTTTTCTTAAATGTAGGTTATTTATAAACACTGCTAAAGGGCAGTAACTAAAAAAATAAGAAGTGCAGAGTACAAGTTCTTGTGCACTGCACTTCTTCTTAATGAGATTTATCATCCTATGAAGATAAGTACATAGCTTTCATTGTTTAGGAAAAATGGCCCGGACAAAAATAAAGTATGAAAATTAAGAAAGGGCAATAACTCAAAAAATAAGAAAAACAGAGTGCCAGTTCTTGTACACTGCACTTTTTAATGAGATCTATCATCCTATGAAGTTTCAAGCCCATAGCTTTTATAAATCATGAGAAATGGACCGGACAAAAATAAAGTATGAAAATCAACAAAGGGCAATAATTCAAAAAATAACATATGCAGAGTACTGGTTCTTGTGCACTGCATTTCTTCTTGAGATCTATCATCCTATGAAGTTTCAAGTCCATAGCTTTTATAGTTGAAGAGAAATGGCCCGGACAAAATTAAAGTATGAAAATTAACAAAGGGCAATAACTCAAAAATTAAGAAGTGCAGAGTACCGGTCCTTGTGCACTGCACTTTAGGTTACTGAAAGAAGCATGCATACCAAGTTTGAAGTCAATCCGACTTATAGTGACTGAGTTATGCTCAGGACAAGCTTTAGGACTAGGAGACAACGACGCCGCCGACAAAAGTAACCCCTATATGTCGCCTTTTCAAGGCGACACAAAAAAGAAAAAAGATAAACAAGAGGGCCATGATGGCCCTGAGGTCGCTCACCTGTATATAGGCCCCCCACCCCAGGGCCAATTTTTACCCAAGGGCTTTTATTTGTTTATTTGAACAGACTTGGTAGACACCAATAAGAAGATGTTTCATGCTAAACATCTAAGTTCTAGCTCATTGGCATTTTTAAAAGAAGATTTTTAAAGTTTTTACTATACACATATAGTTAAAAACAATGTCACCCCTGGGGCAGGGCCAGTTTTGACCCCTGGGCGTTTATTTTAACAAACTTTGTAGATATTTACTTAAAGATGTTTCATGCTTAATATCTAAACTCTAGCTATTTGGGTTTTTCCAAAGAAGATTTTTAAGTTTTTGCTATACACATATAAGGAAAATCAATGACCCCCCCCCACGGGCGGGGCCAGTTTTGACCCCAGGGCTTTTATTTGAACATACTTGGTAGACACCCATTAGAACATGTTTCATGCTAAATATCTTAGCTCTAGCTCTTTGAGTTCTTTAAAAGAAGATTTTTTAAGTTTATACTATATGCATATAGGGAAAATCAATGACCCCCTGGGGCGGGGCCAATTTTGACCCCAGAGCTTTTATTTGAACAAACTTGGTAGACACTCATTAGAAGATGTTTCATGCTAAATATCTTAGCTCTAGCTCTTTGGGTTCTTTAAAAGAAGATTTTTTAAGTTTTTACTATATGCATATAGGGAAAATCTATGACCCCCTGGGGCGGGGTCAATTTTGACCCCAGGGCTTTTATTTGAACAAACTTGGTAGACATTCACTAGAAGATGTTTCATGCCAAATATCTAAGCTCTAGCTCTTATGGTTCTTTAAAAGAAGATTTTTTAAGTTTTTACTATATGCATATTGGGAAAATCAATGACCCCCGGGGCGGGGCCAATTTTGACCCCAGGGCTTTAATTTGAACAAACTTGGTAGACACTCACTAGAAGATGTTTCATGCTTAATATCTTAGCTCTAGCTCTTTGGGTTCTTTAAAAGAAGATTTTTTAAGTTTTTACTATATGTATATAGGGAAAATCAATGACCCCCTGGGTCGGGGCCAATTTTGACCCCAGGGCTTTTATTTGAACAAACTTGGTAGACATTCACTAGAAGATGTTTCATGCCAAATATCTAAGCTCTAGCTCTTACGGTTCTTTAAAAGAAGATTTTTTAAGTTTTTACTATATGCATATAGGGAAAATCAATGACCCCCAGGGGCGGGGCCAATTTTGACCCCAGGGCTTTTATTTGAACAAACTTGGTAGACACTCACTAGAAGATGTTTCATGCCAAATATCTAAGCTCTAGCTCTTTGGGTTCTTTAAAAGAAATTTTTTTAAGTTTTTACTATATGCATATAGGGAAAATCTATGACCCCCTGGGGCGGGGTCAATTTTGACCCCAGGGCTTTTATTTGAACAAACTTGGTAGACATTCACTAGAAGATGTTTCATGCCAAATATCTAAGCTCTAGCTCTTATGGTTCTTTAAAAGAAGATTTTTTAAGTTTTTACTATATGCATATAGGGGAAATCAATGACCCCTGGGGCGGGGCCAATTTTGACCCCAGGGCTTTAATTTGATTAAATTTGGTAGACACTCACTAGAAGATGTTTCATGCTTAACATCTTAGCTCTATCTCTTTGGGTTCTTTAAAAGAAGATTTTTTAAGTTTTTACTATATGTATATAGGGAAAATCAATGACCCCCTGGGTCGGGGCCAATTTTGACCCCAGGGCTTTTATTTTAACAAACTTGGTAGATATTCACTAGAAGATGTTTCATGCCAAATATCTAAGCTCTAGCTCTTACGGTTCTTTAAAAGAAGATTTTTTAAGTTTTTACTATATGCATATAGGGAAAATCAATGACCCCCAGGGGCGGGGCCAATTTTGACCCCAGGGCTTTTATTTGAACAAACTTGGTAGACACTCACTAGAAGATGTTTCATGCTTAATATCTTAGCTCTAGCTCTTATGGTTTTTTAAAAGAAGATATTTAAAGTTTTTTCTTTTGGTTGCCATGGCAACCAGAGTTCTGCATGGAATTAAATTCTTTGAACAATTTTTAAGGTGACCACCAAAGGAACATTCCTGTGAAGTTTGGATGAAATTGGCTCAGTGGTTTATGAGGAGATGTCATTTAAAGCAAAAGTTTACGGACGGACGGACGACGGACGGACGGACACCGGACGAAAAGCGATCACAAAAGCTCACCCTGTCACTTTGTGACAGGTGAGCTAAAAACAACATATATTTATCTTTTATTACACCTTTTAATTTCAAATGTTGACCTGTCAAAAGTACATTTACAAAATGTACTGGATTGTATGATCTCTACACATCGAGATATGATGGAATGTTGACAATAATTAAAGGCATATAACTCTGCCTATCAAACATTTCCAAACAATCAATGAAAAATGACAATGTCATTTTAGTTTACATTCAACAAATAAATACCCACAAAGTTAAATGTATTGTGACATACATAAGCGGTTGAACATTGAATATAGATCTCTTATACATAATTTGTGCTATGTTAATGATTCCAACAAAATAATATGAAATCCCCCCTTTCAACATAATGTTTTCGCAAATATTATAAATTAGAATATATATCTTTGACTTCCCAATGGTTATATATGGTACATGTAAATAACATAAACTGATAAATACACTTTATCAATAAATTTCAATGCATATTAAGCAAACAATTAAAATAGGCAATGCTGTATCCCTGATAATATTTTGCTATTGCCTACATATTATATAAATAAGAGGAATTTTACACCCTTTATCAGAAGTAAATGAGCTAATTAAACCAGGTCACAGGTATTCTCAATTTCATCTATCATTTCTAAGATCATTTCAATATAGCTCATGAAATGTGAACTTTTAATTTGACAAGTAAAGTACTCTATATTCTACAACAAAAAATAGATTAAAAAGTTTATAATAAAAAAATATTTTGTAGCCAACATCCATAGATAAATAAAATAGACCAATCCATAAAAATGCACATCTATTATTTATTAGTATCTATATTAGCTATGCAAGCTACTATTCTAATTTTTGATAAAAATACAGCTGTTACAATATGACGTTGGCATACAAATCAGAGATTATTTATATAATGCACTATTTGGCGAAATAATCAAATTTCACTACAGGCTTTTGTACTAGAATTGTCTAAACTATAATAAATATTTCTAACATCTGTCAGCTGTTTATATAAATGGTAAATTACTACCAGTGAGGAAATAAAAAGATCAATGCTCCAGCTATATTATAAACAATTATTATTTGGATACTTAACCAATAAATTCACAACTATAATATAGTTACAACATGAATTTCCCTACATGTATATCATAAAATATCAAACCATCCCCAAAAGGAATAAAAGAGTAAATTTATCTGAACACCATCTATAAATTAGTTACAAGTACCAATAGGAATATCTATAATCAAACAAATAAAACCCCCAAAGTTTGACTGGAGATGAAAACAAAGCAAGGGTCCTGCCTTAAAACAATTGTCAACCCAATCATAATGTCTGCAGTAATAATGAATAGAAAATATCAAATACACATGATAAACAAATCCTGAATCATGGGGTATTCAGCAAAATTGGCATAACAAAAGTATATTAGGTATTTAAACACCTTATTTTTACAGCCTTAATTGAGAAACTAATTGGATAAATGGGTTGAAAAAAAGTTAAGGCAAGAAATATCACAATTTTAGAGTTTATCATAACAATTTTATTTGTTTACAAAGTTTATTTCCTTTGATAGAATTAAGATGAATTTTTTAATTAATTTTAAGTAGGGAAACTAAACTAGCATTACTTTAACAATGTCATAGTAATTTATTTCAAGGTCAACTGAAATTTACTTAGGTATAAGTAATGATATAGAATTTATAAAATTCTAAAATAAGTTCAAAGTGTCTGGATTTCTTTGTATGTCAAACTGACACAAACATAGTCATGTGATAATGTAATAATTCAAAATAAAAATCTTCAAATAAAATTATCATACCTATAATTTATTGTCAAGCTATGATGTAATAATTTAAAAATGTATCCTAAAATTCATTATTGTTAAAGTGCATTTAGAATAGTTTCTGTCACTTGTTTTATTGTGTCAGCCGGGGATGTCACTGTGTGTCCAATCGTCCGTTCATCTGCAAAGATTTCATGATCGTTTCCTCCCTGAAATAAAGGCAATCATGGTCACAGTTATGTTAGATCAATAATTCATAAAATAAGTTCCAAAAAGATTTTGTATCATGCCTAACTTTTGAACTTTAACTAAGTTTTGGACATTTATTCAATATTTAAGCACCTCTTCTTACAACAATTTTAAGACTCAAGAACTTAAAAATTATCATAATAATAATTTAATTTATTATCATAAACCATGCTTAATCATTTAGATGCTAGTATTTTTAAACAACAAGCCTTTCAATATGAAATAATACATGAATACTTCTAAATCAAGGTATGTCAATTCATAAACACTGTAAGAACCTTTGGGTAGTATAAATCAATCAAATACCTCAGCAGTTTTATCTCCGAAGAAATGCATAGTATCAAATTCGTTTTCTAGAAATTGGAGACAGAAAGTTTTGTTCCAGCCTACTGGGAATATATCAAGACTAATTTGTCCTCCGATAGCAAACTGTAGCCCTGCATTCGCGAACTCTTTCTCTAGCGCTGCTTTAAACTTCTCACGTATTTTATGTTCCTGAAAGATTTATTTGTAAAATTTGTAATTTACTTCTACTCTTCCTAGCATTTATTCATAAAATAATTTACATTCATATGGCACTGTCTGTAATATTTTAGTATTGAAAATAAACAATTGTTTTACATTATAACTAATTAAAAATTATCAGAACAAATTTTGGTTTCAGGGCCGGCAAAATCTGATTTTGACTTACTTGTCCATTTTTATCAGAACTATTTCTTAACTTGTCTGTATGGTATTTATATAGTAAATTCATAAAAAAATTTCCATACTGACTGTGGGATAACCTGGGCAATAGGGACAACTGATTTTGCCGCCCCTGGGTTTAAAGCAAACCAAGTGCTAAAGTAAGTTAACAATAAAACAATTTTGCAATTATACATGTCACAATGTGATTCTTATTACCGACAAAGTAAATACACTTAATTAAAATAGTCACTTCATTATATCTTTTTTATATTACTTTATCTAATTATACAAAATTAAGTTCCAATTCAAATCTTTATCAAATTCAATAATTCAATTACAAACACGTTGTGAACTTTATTTTATTTGTGTTATGAAAAGGTTTATCTGAATTACCTTATCATAAGCTGAAAACTCGTCTCTCTCTGCCTGTGAACAACTTCTACCAACGGGACATATATTTAACATACTGCTTCGAAACTCTACAAACGTTCCCCTGTAACAAATGAAATTAATAAACTTCATAGATACAACTTTTTTTCAATACTTGAAATTCAGTCTTTTATTTATATTTCAGACTTTTGGCCTATATAAAAATTCATGCTTAAAAAAATGTTGGAGCACCACACTACATTCAAGTTCTGTATTCCGGTATGTGCTGGACATGGCGCTTGAATGTTTATATGCTAAAATCTCGACTTTTAGCTTGCTGAAGATGTTTAATTCATCTGTTCACACCAATTTATGTACGGTATTTAATGAAAATTGTAACAATCGGCAAAAAAGAAAATTCTACTTTCTGTAAGTGCCTAGAGGTACTGCTCTAACACAGTAGCGACTTAGATTCATGCTTTAATGGTGGACAATAAATTATCTTAGGTACAATAATACATACAGTTATCACGATAGAACCAATATATTTTTGTGAACTTATTATTGCCTGATAGTTTTAAATATGAATACATACTTATCATAATCTATGAAAACTTACCTTTTAGCTGGAAGATTTAGCTGTGACATATACTGTAGACAAAAATTTATAACTTTTTGAAGAATTTCCTCTCCCATATGTTTTAGCAGATTCTGTAAATAAATTAGGATACATAAATGTCTTATTTAATTAGATACAGTAAAACCTCTGCAGAGCAACACCCTTTGGGAGACTAAAGATTTTGGTCTTGGTTGTTGCAGGGAGATATAACTAGAGATGATAATTTTATGGCAAAAGACCTGAAACTGTTGTTGTAAAGATGTAAATGGTCTACCTGTAGCAACTTTGGGAAGGTTACACTGTACATATTTTTTTACAATACATTTGTATATACATATAGACTAGAGAGGCAATGGTCTTACGTTGAAGATGTCTCGAGTTGTTTTGTTGGTTTTTTATCAGTTAGGGGAAGCAACCCTGCCTTTAATTTTTTTTTTATTTTAAACATTTTCTTTCATTTTAACAACAAAAAGGAAGAAAAAACTTTATTTAAAATCTTTTCCTTTTTTTTTTTTTGGGGGGGGGGGGGGGGGTAAACTGCGGGATTAAAAAAAAATTTCATTCAGTAAAAATACAAGGCACATAAAGTGATTAATAAAACAAATTCAACAGGTTAAAGGTCAAGACAACTTTTTATATTGGGACAGTCTAGTCAACTAAAAACAAAAATCAAAGTGACTAACCTGTTGTCCTATTTGTTTACCATCTTTGAAAGCAACTAAACCGTTCTCAGCAAATACGTAATCAAACTTGTGTATCACTGAAATCACAAAATAAGTGACAATTACATAACAGCATTAAATATGAATACCATCAAAGATATCCAATTCCATCATGATTTTAACACTGCAGTTGTGTGACCTTAAAGTAGGTTGGTTACAATTTGTGCCTTAAATATTGATTAGAGAGGGGCATCTGGTGTTGTTAACCAAAGGCAAAGTTTGGAAGCCATTATATGATAACAACCATAGCAATATTAGTTAAAATTTAAACCATGCTGATTCAAATCAAACTTACATTACTATAAAGTCCATGATTCAACTCAATATACATATCAAAGATATACAAGTAGATTAGAACATACATAAAATAAGTGTCCCGACAAATTTAAAAAAAAACAAAATTCTATATGCCTTAGTATAGACATAAGGCTGTTCTGTTAAGAATTCTTGCACACTTTCAAACCAAATGTTGAACAATGAACACCTACCATCATCTCCTCCCATTTGTTCAGCTATTTTAACCAAGTCAGACCCTCCAACCAATGCGACCTTCACCTTTGACCTCAGCTTCTTCAGGAACTCCTCCATGTCTGCCTCCACCATCTGAAACGAAATTTTATATATACATTTTTCCTGATCTTGTTTTATTATCATAATAATTTTTTAAAAAAAGTCAGTTTTTATTTCAGGACAGGGCAGAACAAAAGCATGTTATCCTCGTCTGTTATCAACTACCAATTTTTGTAAATATTATAACTTTCTAAGTATTGCTTTAAGGATAATGCCCCTAGTCTTACAATTGTGCCTAGACATGTTCATCTTCATCTCAATTATAAAAAGCAATTTCGGCAAAAAATTTAAGTTAAAGTGGGGCATTACTCTAAAAATATAGCTTACAGAATTATGCCCCTTGTCTTACAACTGCTTCTTGTTTGGATATTAAGATTAGTATTGATACCTTTATAATTGTTTAAAGTTTTTGATGATAAGGACAACGAAACTGCAGAACTGAAACCGGTAGAAAATAAATAACCTTAACCTGCACTGGTGTTGGCGTGTTGTATAAATTTTCTTCATATTTTGATTTCATCTTACTTGTTAGTAAATTTAAGTTGAAGAAGTGGGGGATTGAACTTTCGATCACTCAATTTGTTACACATTAGTGATTAATATTTCAAACCTTTCTATGAGGAGTCAATGTTGTGTCAACATCAAACATAAATATCACATTTTTTGGTCTTAATTCCATTCTTAAATGTATTCCAATAATAGTTTAACATTAATCCAGTATGTAACTGTTTATATATACATATAAATATATGTTAAATTCAAATTTTACTATTCATGAGACTATAAAAAATTTACATATTTGACCTATATTCTCACCTTTACAATGTAAATATTAATACTGGGTCACTATCTGTGTGATAACATGATGTCAGATGTTCAGACAATCTTTCACTAGTAGTTTCAGTGCCTGAAATTTTAACTAGCCTGACAGCATTAAGCTTGTAGATTTTTCTGTGGAGCTAGTAAAAATTTCAAAAAAAATTATTCAGTATATATAATATGGTGGGTGAGATCATTTTAGTTACTGTTTATACCAGCATAAATTTGCTCTAACGTAAACAGACATATCTTGGATTCGGAGCTTAAACCATTGGACAAACATTTCTAAACAGTGACATCTTATCACTTCAAATACTTAGCAAATAAGAATCCACCTTTCCTTTCTTAAAACAGTTAAACCTGATCTACCAGTAACTAATTACAGAAGTTACCAATTTAAATACAGTCAAATCTGACCAACAAGTAACCAACAGCTTTTCTAAATCTAATATCCACCATTAGCCACTTACTTTTCTAAATACAGAAAAACTGATATAAATCATCTACAAGCCTCCGCTAATGAAGATACAGTGACCTGACCCTGCCTGAACAACTTTCTAGTTGTTGTAACTTAAAAAAATATCCTTTTTTGGGCTAGAATATCTGACACTTGCTGGTCAGGTCACTGCACGTATCCTATGATGATCAGAGGAGACTTTTCAAGTACATGTAGAATCTTCATGTAGCACTTAAGCTCTTTCTTGTTTTCAATACTGCAAGACAGACTGATATTACAAACTGATATTTCATAGATGTCAGTCTTAATGAAGGGTGAGCATCGTCTATATATTAAATAAAAAGCCCTGGCGCACAATTTGTCGGGCTATCCTCCCAACTGAGTTACAAAATTAATATCTGCTTAGTTTTCAGTCTTTGTTTTCTCCGCATACGCCGGGATGAAATAGTTGAAGAGCAATACGGGGAAGTCAAAGCCCGGGGCCGTGAAGTGGCTCCGGGCTTTGGCATACCAAGATATAGTATACATGTGTATAATTCTATACCTATCAACAGAATTTTCAGTATCATTTCTTGTTGGGCGCCATAACGCAATGATAAACAGCGGTGTACGTATTTCGATAATTATATTAATAGCAAACAAGAAAAGCATTGATGCAAAGCATCAAAGGGCGTCCAAGCAAGAAATGCAGAAAGTGAAGATGAACTAGTAGACATATGATGTCAAGATATTCTTATAAACTTTTCAATGGTTAATTGGTTTTTACCAGAATGAACGGACGGAAGACATTGTTCATTATGAACTTTGATTGGCATGCTAGAGATTAGAATATTACTTGTTATTTCTTTATGATCGTGATTATTAATAGCAACGGATATACATGTATACAATCATTTATAATCCATATGTGTAATGCATGATCAACACCACACTTGTGGAATTGTCCCTTATTATGTAATTGCTATTAGCGAAGACCCCCTCTTAAGGTATCTGTTCACACTTAGTAAAGATATGACACTGGTTATATTACCATGTCATGTTGAGCATTATTGTTTATTATACAATAATTGTAATATCTATTTTAATAACAAAAACACAGATTTTATGAATATTGTTTTCCTCTCTTATTTGTGTTTTTATGTGCTATTTTAATACTGAGTTTTTTACATTTACTACTCTTTTTTTATTAAAATTGTAAAATAAATTTTAAGAATTCAATTGTCATATTGACCGACGATTATAAGTCAAAACTTAACTGTAAATAGTCAGTAAATTATGGTTAATCTTTCAATATATAATATTGTTTATTCTTAAACCATGTACATGTACATTTGTATTTTTCTTTATCATTTTTTAAATTATCAATCAATTAAATAATTAATAAAATCTAATTTGTAACTTTGAATAATTCCTCGGCATCTTTACTAAACACGAATAACAAATTAAATAAAATGTTTCAAAGTTGATAGTGTCATATTAAAACCATAAAAATGTACCTTTTTCACAATTATTGTACATATTTATTGTTTTTATCTCATATAGATAAAATGAAACATGCTATTGTTGTTGTTGGGTTTTTTTTCGAATTGTATGTTCATGTATAATAATAATCAATAAATTTGAGAGTTGATCTATGTTTATTAATTATTGTAACCAAACTAAGTGACAAACATTCATTTTGGAAAAAAGTTTATTTATCTGTAATATATTTGTTCTGTTCTGTAACGATATCAAACATCTACTCCAAAACCGAGAGAGACCGGACAATAAACATGTGGTCACTATTATCCCGGTCAAAATAGACCGGGAGAGACCGGAATTACCGATAGGAGTACATCCCTCTATAAATAGATTTTCGGAATATTTAGGTCATCAACTCATCATTCTATTTTAACATACCATGATAACCCACTGTGTACTACAAAATGATAAATAAAAAAACCGAAGAGACGGGAAAGGTTATTGCATTTGAAAATATTTGCATTGCGCAATCCTCCAGTTCGCTATTCATTGTACATATCACGACATTTCATTTTTGTATTTTCTGATCACAGATCAGATAATACATAGCCAACATCCACGGTCTAACACAAAATTTCCTAACAGTCCTAACAACGCAAAATAGTTCTCACTCAAAACTGCTTAAAAACCAGCAATTTAAAAGAAAGAACAATTTTTTATTACAAGTGTCCAACAAATTACTACACCTTCAAACTTTTAATTAATTAATAATAATCAAGCACCCTCATTCCGATCGGAATGATCGGCTTTTATTATGACCGACTAAAAGGCTCGAGAAGTTGCTGTCGCCCTTTCACAAAATCTGATTTCATTCCATAAAGGGGCGCCGCGCTTTGGCGCGGACGCCAATCACAACTTTTCGAGTTAAAAGATAACAATAAAAGCCGAGGAATTCTGATTGAAAACGGATGCGTAGATTGTCCCCTGTGCACTTCCATTGGGACCATAATATGACAGGGAACCAGAAATTAACGGACGCAGTGTATAAAATAGCGAATGTCACTTTTATTTTAAAACCGAAAATGTAAAATAAAAAAGAACTATTATTTTAACCGACTTCCCCGTTCATAGGCTTTGCCTTATTTCCTATTCATATCACATAGTAACATCATATTCAAATGATATTCAGATATTTGTAAGACTTAGAACCCCAAAACTGTTTTGTTTCTTGCTGATGCAACTTCCATAAATTTTTCCAAGTTTGAGAATAAAAATTTAATTTAATTTGAAAAATTAAAAAAACAGTTTTATTTGAATGAAATATTGTTATTACCTTCCGGGGAGCAGTAAGAGTCCCATCAACATCAAAAATTGCAATTGTTTGTGTGTCACGTTGCATTTTGTAAACAAACAGTCTGAATCACACTAAACGCTTGAAGGACCATTTACAAAAGGAGCATTGTATATAATCACCGTTTATTTTTATCATTCACTTCCGGGTAAAACTGAAGTTTTAAAAGTTTTTGTTGACAATGTTTTATACCAAGATCAAATAATTGATATAGTAAAGGTAAGTCAGATTTGAAATAATTTTTTTGAATTTTTGAATTACAGGTTTGGAATTTAGGTTTATTTCAAACTGACACTGCGGTTCCGGTTAAGATGGAGGGAAAAATCTAGAGAGAGAAAACATAAATTTTTATCTTGTATAATCCTTTCTTGTAGTGAATTTGGCATAAAATATCAATGTGTTTTTGACTGATATAAAGTTTATTTATCATATTAAGAGACTGATATAACGTTTATTATCATATTAAGAAGGTTCTAGAAATGGCATCCCAAGCGCCGAACAATAAAAGTTGCGCGCAGTGTGAAATAGTATTTAAAAAGTCGCACAAGTCTATGAATTGTCACATATGTAATTTTTGGTTTTGTTTGGAGTGTAGCCATATATCAGCTAAACTATATGAGGCGCTTAAACATGAACCTGTAAAGAATTTGCCCTTTAATTGTGACGGCTGCACAAGGGTCTTACCAAGGCTGAATGAATTTGGATCAACCCTCAGCAAACAAAATATCAGATTACTTGATTGTGAGAAGAAGGTTAATGCTTTGAAAGAGGATATTGAGAAAGTTGTTGAGTTAAAGGTTGAAAATGCTATAGTTGAATTTAGGGAAAGGGAACAAAGGAAATGCAACATTATAGTTCATAATGTGCCGGAATCTGGAAAGAAGGAAACAGATGCACAAAGTCTTAGGGATATATTTCAAGTTGTCAAATGTTCGGATGTGAAACTTGATAGCTTTGTAAGATTAGGCAAACCTGGTGTTAAGGCCAGGCTTATTAAAGTGCACCTTGAATCTGTTGATGATAAGCACAAAATTCTAAGTGGGACAAAATATTTAAGGGAGAAGAGGGATCATGAATATGCACATGGGTGGAGTAAGGTGTTTTTAACGCCAGATCAAACAAAGGAAGAAAGATTGAAAAGTATTAAACTGAAAAAGGAACTTGAAAGAAGGAGGGATGAGGAGAATAATCTGGACTTGATCATCTTTCGGGGTAAAATTATAGAAAGGAGGTCAAAGTCACAAGTCGGGGCACTAAATGTATCGGATAGTAGAGGGGGGGGGCCCTGTATTAGAAACAGTGCCAGCACCTTTTCGTCTGTAAAAGTAGCCGAAATGAACATGTAAATAATGTTAAAGTTATACAAGTTACTCCTGTTCAAGTTAATGTTAATGTTAATTCTGATCTCATAGATTCTATTCATTGTGATAATTGTATCTTTAAGGGACATGATTATGAATCAGTTTCTAAGAAGAAAGGTTTTGTTGATCTCAAAAACACAGACAGTGTTTATGAAACTGTAAATTATACCGATGACTGTTTATTTGAAAATGTTTCTGAAAGCATTGATGATAATAGAAATGTACAGATTTCAGAACCTGATGACGCTACCTCTTGTTCGACATCTGTATGTAGTGAAAACACAAGTGACTTTACGGTAAGGACAAATGGTGATGTAATTTCGGAAAACAATGATGATATTATTTCTGAAAATAACAATAACAATATTATTGAAACCCAAATCAAGAAGTGCAAATGTATTTATACAAATGCTGACCAATTGCAAAATAAATTGAATGAGCTTCAAATACTTGTGACCAGTATTAAACCGGACTTTATATTTGTGACTGAAGTACTACCGAAATATAACGTGGACAATTTAACATGTTCTTCATTATTATATAAACTTGAAGGTTATACATTGTTTCCTAGCTCAGACCATGGTAGAGGGGTGAATATATATGCGAGGAATGATTCTGCTAATGAACAACTTAATTCTATGTATAATGATGCATCTTGGTGTGACTGGTCTATTGAAGAAAAAACTGTACTTGTTGGCTGTATTTATAGAAGCCCTTCTAATATAGATGCGTGTGATATTATAAATAACATGTTAAAGGAAGCAACTAGAATAAGTTCTAACCTACTTGTAACTGGAGATTTCAACATGAAAGATATTGATTGGGAAACATATAGTACCCCCATAGTGAAGGTCATCATGAATATAAATTTATTGAGTGTATACGTGATAACTACTTATTTCAGCATGTAACACAGTTTACGAGATGTAGAAATGACCAGATAAGTAATGTGTTGGACTTAATTCTTACCTTGTGTGAATCCAATATTAACAATATTGAATACTTACCTTCTTTGGGCTGTAGTGATCACGTAATATTACTTTTTGATTTTCTTTGTGAGTTCAAAGAGCTTTATACTGGAAATGGTTTTTATATGTATCAAAAAATGTGACTTACTAGGATTCTCTAATGAATGGCAGCAATTAGATTGGATTTTGCTTTTTGAAAATTGTAATATCCATGAAATGTGGGAAATATTTTCAAATAAGTTCTATGAATGTGTTAATAAATATGTACCAATGTCTAAACCTAAGAAAGGATTTAAACCGAAACCACTTTGGATGACTGGGGAAACCCTCAAACATATTAAAAAGAAAAGACATGCATGGGATAAGTACCTTGCAACAAGACGCCATGAGGACTATGATGAATACAAAAGTATAAGAAATGCTGTAAATGACATTATTAAAAATGCTAAAAGAAGTTATGAGAAAGATATATCACGCAAAGCTAAGACAGAACCAAAACATTTTTGGAAATATGTTAAGAACAAGACTAAATCAAGAGATGGTGTTTTCAATTTGAAAGACGAGAATGGTAATTTTACAACCTCAAACCAGCAAAAGGCTGAATTGTTAAATGAGTTCTTTACAACAGTATTTACAAAAGAAAATTTGGATTGTGTACCTAACATGAAAGATAAGACTGTGTTAAAAGACCTTGATGATATACATATCTCGGAGAGTGAGGTGTTGAATTTATTAAAGGAACTTGATCCAAATAAATCAATGGGTCCAGATGATATACACCCATACATAATAAAGAGTCTGGCTGATGTTTTTGTTGGGCCGTTAACCGCTATATTTAGAAAGTCACTTGAAAACGGATTACTTCCAAATGCATGGAAAGATGCAAGAGTATCGCCAATTTTTAAAAAAGGAAGCAAAACAAATCCTAGTAACTATCGACCAGTTAGTCTAACATCAATATTGTGTAAAACATTGGAAAAAATTATTCGAAAGCACATTATGAAACATATTGAAGAAAATAAATTATTATCTGACAATCAGTATGGTTTTCGGACAAGAAGGTCTTGTGCTTTACAACTTCTAAATGTATTAGAAGAATGGAATATTTATATGGAAAATTATCAAAGCTGGGACACCATATATCTTGATCTAGCAAAGGCTTTCGATAAAGTCCCACATGTACGTTTATTAAATAAAGTGTCATCTTTTGGAATCAAGGGAAATGTATTGATGTGGATAAAAAGTTTTCTATGCAATAGAAGACAGTGTGTATCAATTAAAGGTAGTACGTCATTGTGGAAAACAGTGGATAGTGGAGTGCCGCAAGGTAGTGTGTTGGGGCCGGTACTTTTTATTTATGTATGTGAATGATATCACAGATAATGTCAAATCAAGCATTAAAATATTTGCTGATGATACAAAATTGTATACACCAACTAGCAAGTCGGATGTCCTCCAAAATGATATTGACTCAATTATGAACTGGGCAGTAAAATGGGAAATGAACTTTAATGTTGATAAATGTAAGGTGATGCATTATGGTCATGCAAATCCTCAAAAACAGTATGTTATGAATAACAAGGACTTTATCGGATACTCAAGAAGAATGTGATCTAGGAGTTATTTTTGAAAAAGATCTTAAATTTAGCAAACATATTTTCTACAAAGATTAATAAGGCGAATAGTATTTTAGGCCTTATTAACCGGTCTTTTGAATTTTTAGATGAATACACCTTTGTGAAATTGTATACAGCTTTGATTCGTCCTCATGTTGAATTTGCAAATGTTGTGTGGAATCCATATTTAATAAAAGATATATCAAGTCTAGAAAAACTTCAACAAAGAGCAACAAAACTAGTTTCATCATTAAAAGATCTGACATATATTGACCGTCTTAAAAAGCTTAAACTGCCAAGTCTAATACATCGCAGATTAAGAGGGGACATGATTCAGACTTTCAAAATAGTAAAAGGCTTAGATGACTGTGTTTTTGAAAAATTTTTTTTAGTTATTCGGCATCAACAAGGGGACATAATTTAAAACTAGAAATGCCTCGTAGTAGAACAACTCATTGCCTACATCAGTTTTCGAGACGTGTAATTAAAACATGGAATAATTTGCCAAAAAATGTAGTAGACTCAAAAAGTGTTCATGAATTTAAAAATAAAGCTAGACCAACACTGGACAGGAGACACATCCATATAAAGTTTAAAATGTTTATTGAAAAATTATGCTGTTATAATTGTATAGCAGAGTGAACAGAAGTAGATAAAAGTATATATAATTAAACATAGAAGTGGTGAGAGCAATAAGAAGAAGTACTGAAAGATTGTCAAAAGAAGAGGGGCTTAAAAAGGGCTTGGCCCTTCCATCAGAGCCCAAAATCATCCTACAGGTATCCTACAGGTATTTGTTCATCACAACCCCTCCCTTTTTTTGCATGTATGTTACATGTATCATTGTATAAATTGTGGATAAATTGTGTCAAAATATAGAAAAATAATTTATTTTTTTTAAATATAAAAATTTATATTTTTATGGATGTTTTTTTGGTTTTTTTTTTTTTTATTTTTTGTTTTTTGTTTTTTTCATGTAGATTATCAGGTCTAGGATTTCATGATATTTATGGACTGTCAGTAAATTTATGGATAGTCTATAAATTTAAAGATTTTTCAGTCCATAAATTTACAAATCCTCACTGTTAAATTTGCTGTTTTTAGTTTTATACTAAAATCTGCAGCTTAAAACAAGTTGTTATATTGATTGTTTCTATTAACAAAGGAAATGAGATAAGTTTCATCTTTGTATGATGACTTTGAAATTTTTGTTAAAAGTGAAAATTGAAAGTCATCAAATTGTTCTGAATCTTATCCTACTGTTACATTTAATCATATAATCAGTAAATTTATTCTTATTAACCTGCGGTTTTTAATTTTAATACAACTTATACTATTTTCACATTTAATGTCTATAAATTTACAGATAGAAAAATCTGTAAAATTATAGATGGTCCATAAATTTACAGACTGTCCATAAATATCATGAAATCCTAGACCTGATTATTATGAAATTTAATGTGCTTGATTCTTGCATATTATTTTTTAATTACCATGGGCAGGTGTTTACCTTGTTCTAAGCTGGCCTATTTTTTAGACATCCTATTTTTCACCATGATACTTACAATACGTACGGCGATCTTGGAGTAGATGAAGGCAAGTTTACTTCAGCCTAAAAACTCCTTCTTTCCATGAAGAATTGGTTTTATCTGTAATCTGATGGTTTAATCCGGTAACAATTTACCTCACAAAGTTCATACCTGTCTTGGTTCCACTTTTTGTCCAATTTATTTAAAATATAATGACGGATTCACTAATAACAATATCCTCAGAAAACTTATTGCATTTATCAATACACCTATGTGGAAAGCAGCTAAGCTATTTAAATACAAGGTCCTACATCTGACTTTTATTATCTGGTAGATATGTCCTTATTTGAGGTTATCATTTATAAATGTATAAAATTTGTCAAAATCTACTTCTTCATATCCATGGAAAAATTTGAAGTGTTGTATCACATCAAAACATTTTCTACAGTAATAAATAAGTGGAAATCAACTACGGACAGATAATGCTTAAGTTTCACTTTGGGTCCTTTTTGCTGCCAGTAGTCTGACAACTGTGTTTAAATCTTATAATGATACCATTGTTTAAAAAAGATTATTTTTCAAAACATCATGTTAAGGGAAAAAGACTTAAAAATCCTATGCCATTTGCCTTATATTTCTTGTATTTACATCATTTGTACAAAAAAAAAATAATCACAAGACAAAATGGCATAGGTGCACCTTATTGAACTAATGGATAATGCAGCAGTAATCACCAGTTGCTTGTTCCATTATATTATTTCCCAGGTAAAATTGAACTTCATTTTACTCATTTCCCCAAAAAATGACACAATACATGTAGTCCTTTAAAATTTGTGTCCGTCTGAAAATGTTGTCATTTTCTGATTGTTCTTGTTTGTAGACATTGATTTTCCTCGCAGTTTTGTGGCTTTTTCAAGTGGAAAATATAGCATGATAAATCAGAAAAGGAGAAAAACTTCCAACAACTGAGAATGGAATTATACCCGCATAAATTTTTATAAAATTTTCAATTTATTTAAGTTTTAACAAAATTACATGGTACATAGCAGTGGGTCTTTTTTCTGTCTTTCAGTCAAATGAATTTAATAGCTAGCTGATATAAGTGACTTGAAGTCAGCTGCTGTTAAGTCATGGATCTGGTGAAGAACATGCACAGGGCATTTTATTTCCACGGGAAAATAATACATGTAGCATTTTTAGGGGAAAATAAACCTATAATGGGCTAGGGGAAACAGCCCTTATTTGACTTTAAAATACAGTGGTAGAAAAAAGTAAGTTTGTTTTGTAAAGGTTAATGTAACTAAATATTTAGCTAGAGATACAAATGTGATTTTAATCAAAACATGGAAAAAAAATGATTGTGTAACACCATTTTGTGCTAGATTAATGATGACATACCATTTTTAAACTGGCTGACACATGGTCAATGTTTGGCCCATTTAATTTGCTTTTGCTTGAATATGATGTGTATCATGTAGCACAAGCAGAAAATAAGTGATAGGTATAGGTAGTTACAATTATTAATTTATTTGTATGGTCAGTTCATTCTTTGTTTCCATTATTTGTTGAAAGTCTTAATACCACAAGCAATGAGGTAACCAGATAATAAATATTCCCCTTATTCTTTGAGGTTTCCCATATCCTTGCAGTGGTTTTTCTCACTTAATTGGGAAGAGGCTGTAGCCTCTTCATTTTAGGAAAAATTATCTCTAAAATTGCTAATTTTGGAAGTAAGAAATCTGGTTCAGATTTTTGGGAAAGTTGCATAATTTTAACGAAAAAATTCAATTGGGAAGAGGTCTTTTATAGGCCTCTGTTATATAAGGAGGAAAGTCACTGGCTTTGGGCATATGGAAATGAATTTGCCACTTGCAACTTACACACCGTTAAACTTAGACATCTTAAAACATGTCTGCTTTAAAACACTGATACATGTGTGTCAATGTTCAGAAGAAAATGTGTCAAAAGAAAATAAAAATCTAAACAATTTTTTAAATAGATTTCAGTAAATCCTGAAAAAAAATCTAAACTTATATTGGTGACTTCAGATCTTAAAGCTTAGTGTTTTTTAAGAGCTGATTTTTATTTTATAGAATCTGTTTGATATGTTTGCAATCCTGACTTGCATTATACCAGTAGATAATTAGATTTATAACTTGTCATAAAAGGAATCTGATTTGTAAAAGAATGCATTGAATTGGAGTAATACCAGAAAGAGCTTTCCTAGACTTTGTCATCATAGATTTTCATAGAACAATGTTTTTATTTTATTTAATGAATACAACGTAACTTGATCTAATGTTCCGAGAATAATTTTGCACTGAACTCTTAAATGTCTAAAAGAAAAATTTCCGTTATTACACATAAAAACAATTTGTCTGAACCTTTTAATCTCATGACCCTTTAATCATAAAGCATGAACACAGTGTTTTACCTTTTTAAAAATGTATGATTTTGAATATAGATGCCACAGGCCAAATTGAATTTCCTATTGAATTTGTCATAAAGGACTTGTTACTGATTATCTTGCCAAAATTCAACTTCAAACAAGCTCCTTTTATTGATAAAGTCACATACAATTGTGTGTTCAATCATGTATATCAAAATGATTGTTAAAAAAAAGATGATAAATTTACATCAAATGCAGTCATTTTAGAAAGTTTTATTTTAAAGGAGGAAACAAAAAGATTATATGGTTACATGTAATTAAGGAAGCCTGTGATGTTAATGTGTTTGTAACTTTATAGCTGAGTATATACTATGATATTTGCAGTTGTTTAGATAAAATAAACACTGAATTGTAATAGCTCTTTCATCTGGTATCATAAATTGTGAATGTAATTAGTACCAAAATTTATCTATTTGATGCTTTATAATAAGGTGTTTTTCTCATAGTATAAAATGTAAGTCTACAGCTGAGGGCATGATTTCCTGTTAAGGTACCAGTTGTACTGGTAGATCTATTGCAATTCTGCAAAATAATTTAGTAATGATCTAGAATCCTGAAACACTTCATGAATGCTACAAGTACATGTAAAACACTACAGCCCAGTTGTTTTTTTTCCTAAGAATTGGAAAGAGGCCTTACTCCTTAGCCTTCAGCCTATTGATTTTGTGAAAAAAATATTGCTACAATTTTTAATTTGGGTAAGAGTAAGTTAGGATTTTTGGAAATTGTTTATCATTTTAAGGAAAACAGAAATTTCTATAGGGAAGAGGCCTTTTATAGGCATCTGTATTGTAATACAAAAAAGCCCTGGACTACCTTATGGCAAGGAAATGCAAGTTTTCTCTGTATGGTCAGTGTTTTTACGTTCACGATTTTTTTCTTTACAAATTACAATAGTCTCCTAATAAAATAAAGGCATTCTCAATGTCAAACAAGTATTTTCCCCCCAAATAAATGACAGTTTGCCACTTTAAATGAAAGGCCAGGTGAATAACTAGATTTCATAATGTACACTCCTTATTTTATAATTTTCAGTAATCTATGAATGTTATATGTGTAGTATACCTTTCAGAGGTTTGTAGACAACTGTCAGGATGTTACAGCAGATCATCAAGGACATGTATATAGAGCCGGAGCTGCTCCTCGAGCTCTCCGACGAACAGAAACAAATTCTCTTCCTTAAAATGAGAGAGGTATGTACATTTTAGTTTTTAGGCCGCACAACTTTTGTGTAAATGTTGCTAAATCGCATATAAATTTTAATGATTCTTTTTTTTTTATATAATGGATCAAAATTTAATATAAAATTTGCTAATTCTCTGTCAGATTATCTGCTTTAGGTGTGTACATACTTGCGTAGTTCTAGGTAAGGCTATCACTTTGTTATTGAATGTACAATTAAACTTAATTTGAAAGTTTGAATTTTATTTGTCCATGTGTTTTTATTGACCTATACAGTGACATTCTTTTGGCTGATTTGTATAATAATATTATAGTCTGTATTAATGGCTCTGAATTAATTATTAAACTTTTGTTCTATTGTTCATGCAGAAAATCTAGATCATGACCTGGTCAGACACAATGTCATAACAACCCTGCTTATATTAAGAAAAAAAAAGTCAAAAGGTCATATACATGAAAATGTCCTTCAATTAATAATTGCAAAGTATTTAGGATGAAATTAATTTCCTAAGATCAAATGACAATTTGTTTTGTAAGTTAAAATTTCACTGTGTCCATTTTTGGCTATATCAATTGACATAGGCTACTAATATACTTTATAGCTACTGGCATAATATTGGAAGATATTAATTCCTGATTAATGTACATGAATGCCCTTGTACTTATGTATATTTACATCACTGAAATACTGTTTGATAGTAACCTAAATTATAAAATTTGTAATAGTTGGTATAACCTCTGTTGGTTGTGTATTCAATATTTGTTTTGAATAAGCACACCTCCAGATTATAATCATTATTTGATGGTCTTTGTTAAGTGCTTTAATTTAATGAAATATTTTGAATGGAACAAATGAAGTAAGGCAAGCTAACATTGGGCTCTAAAAGTAGATTAATTAAAATGTGGTAGAATATGTAAAAATAATGTTTAATTACATAATATATAAATGTTTACCCCCGGGCCCTTCCCCAAAAAATTACATTACCGGTACTTTAAACTAAATTTATATTTTACATAAATAATGATTTACCCACTTTGTTAACCTCTTACAAGGTTGAAAGATTTGGACATTTGGGACTAGAAAACAATAAGTTTCCAAATAAAATGATGTCCATGTCTACAAATCATGAAACTACATTAAGTTATACATTATATTTTCTCAGTATTATACATTAATTTTGTGAACTTTCTCCTGTATATATTTTGATTAAGATTTTAGTATAAACATGCTTATTTTAGAATAATTGTTATAAAAGTTAGAAGTTTATTTGAGCCTATCTCTGTTTTGCTTTCTGGAACTAGCTAGTACTGGAGCCATTTAAAGAAACATGGTTGTATGGCCAATGGAGCTTAATTAAAACCCAATCCTTTTGGCTTAAAGTCTGACACTTATGTTGAGGCCCTGTATTGTTTGGAATTTTGAAGTTTCTTGATAATTTTTACAAAATTTTGATCTTTGATGAAAATGTATAACTGTTGTCATTTGTTCCACATCTGTTATGATTTTAAGAATTAGAAGTGTTAACTGTATAAATTATTTTATTTCTAGCATAATTCAGTCTCTAAAATTTGTTTTGACTTAACATATATGAGATTATATTATATAAATAAGTATCAATAATACAGATCTTTAAACTTGTATTCATTTTATCTATTTAACATATTGTTTTAAAAGGTATGTAAAATTTGAATGTCTTTCTTTTCAAGTCTGAATAGAAAGTTCACTTAGGTACATCAGTTTGAACAAATCTATATTCTTCAATTTCCTTTTCTTTTATCAAAAGCAGAAATCAGATGAGTACTGTATTTAATCAGCTGGTTTATTTTACATCAATATAAGGAAGGTTCACATTCCCTTGTTAATCAATGTTTAATTTTCTAATTTTGTACTGTAAATGTAAATAATGCATCAGAGTCTGCATTAGATACGTAGAAACACAAAAATGAAAAGGTAAAACTGAATCATTAGGCCCACCTGATAAAGGCCAAATGAAATGAAATTTTATTTTCTAAGGGCTATTATTTAAACTAGTGCTGTAACCAAAGATTGCTTTGCTGTAGTGTTATGGAATCAAATCACTTCTAACAGCCTACATAGACCACTTTTGGACTTTTGGGAGTCTTGCCTTTGAGAGTTTTAACTTGTGTATACTGTCATTTTAAAGCTTTGATGGTTTTGATCTCGAACATGTATGTTTTAGCATCTTAAAAGATTTTACATTTATTTTTTTTGTGGGGCTTGGACTATACTGACACTAATAAAGTCATATGTTTATTGGTAGATTAATATTACAACCTTGTCTTTTAAGGCAGGAGAAGGAATATTGTGACATATTCCTGAGAAAGTTAATATAATTATAGTAAAATATATCTAAGTATTTAACAAAAACAATGAGTTGTTTTTCTATGGCATTTTTTCCTTCTCTCTGAATACTTAATAAACTTATTGTTAAATGTCTTTCAATAATATATTATATCTTTAATTCCCATCCTTTAACAAATTTGATTCAATACAATGAAATTTTCTTTATCCTCTTCACAACAGTGGTTTCCTTGGCCAAGTGGTATATACATTGTACTTCAAATCACATGCCCCATACATCTTAAGAGTTTGAAGCCCAGCAGAGACATCTTTCATTTGTTGTTGGTATCTAGGTAACTTACAGAAGGTTAAAGGTCAGGGTTGTTCTACTCTGGTGTATCTAATGTGCTGAATTAATGAATAGATTAACATGTCAGTTCTTCCTTCACTAGTAATTAGTAAAACCGGAAGTCGCCATGTTATCTTGAAAGTTCAATAGTAACTAAAAAAAATATTTCCTTCTTTAGTTTCCTTCTTCACTAGCAGGGTTGTTCTACTCTGGTGTATCTAATGTGCTGAATTAATGAATAGATTAACATGTCAGTTCTTCCTTCACTAGTAATTAGTAAAACCGGAAGTCGCCATGTTATCTTGAAAGTTCAATAGTAACTAAAAAAAAATTATTTACTTCTTTAGTTTCCTTCTTCACTAGCAGTGATTGTTTTATATTTTTATATGAAAAGGGGAAACTATTTCACAAGGAGAAGATAACTGTCAGTCTCTGGAAAGTACAAGTTCCTACTTATACGTTAAGTGTAACCCATATTCCCGTCCCAGTAAACCTGCTGTGTCAACATAATAATCTCTATAACAGTGTCAGTGTCACTTCAAACTTCACAAAAGAGATATAAAACTAGGTGCACAAAATGCATATCAATAAGTTATCAGGTATTAATCTTATGTTAGATTGCTGTAAAATAGAAAAATAGTGAATAATCCAGGAAGTTTGTTCACAGCAAGATGTGTGTTTATAAAGTTAGTTTAAAATGTATGGTTTATGACAAAAAATGGTGTACTATATACACTGTACATATCCATATTGGTACCCTGTGAAATCTACTAAAACAGTACCCTCTTTTCACTTGCCACTTGCACAGGTCACTCTGCTGAAAATAAATCAGCGATGGACACCAAATTCAACTGCTAAAAGTACTTATGTAGTGTCATCGCTTTGTTTTAATTAAGCAGACAATGACCCATGAATGTGCAAAGAGGGTAGAGATTAAGTAGCTTTTGGATATACTTGTGCTGATAATGGCATGACCATACCACCACTGTTCTAGGTCCTAATGGCAAACCTGCTAGTGTAAATAATCTGACCAGACTCTACACAGTGTTTGCATGTTGGTTTGAGCATTTTGATATTGAAAAAGTTTTAAAATAAAGTTGTAAAATTAAAGAAATGCAGTTTCTTCTTCAAGAAATACAATTTCTTATTCAAAAAATGCAATTTTGTCGCATATATTTCACAAGGTAAAGGATAACGAAAAAAAAATATCTGTCTTATTCTAGTCATTAGACTTAATTATCATTAAGGACATTTCTGTTCAACCTGTACTTGGGTTCAAGCCAGTATGACTTCAGAAAAGTCTTTCAACTCTGTACAATTGCCTGTCCAATATATTATTCTGATCCCTGAAACATATAATGGACAGTTCCAATTTCAAAACAGGACAAGTCCATTGAATACTATCATAGGATAATGGATTAAATAGTTTGCTTATGTTCATTAACCATTAGCCAGCTGGATGCAACTGAATGTACCCATGTGACCAGTGCAGTCCAAGATCATCCATACCATATACTGTTAAGGAAAGTTTTTTCTTGTAATTTACATGGATAGAAAATGCTGTTTGCAATGTGCATTTGACAATATTCTTCTTTTAAATACATATGAAAATTAGCATGTACACCTGGTGGCATGCTGCTTTAAGAGGTGTGATTTCATTTTGGCTCTTTAGGTTTGAGTATAGAAAATGAAATATGGTAAGATTTGCTTACTGGTAACTCATTGAAATTTTCCCTTAGCTTGGTAAAGGTTAAAAGACAGTTGATAATATACAAGGAATACCTGCAGAATCCTCTTCGGTACCAGATGCATCTGGTCCTAAATTCAGTTTTAGACCTGCTTTACCATTCATATTTATTAGAAAAAAAATTACAATTTCAATTTTCTATATTTAGGAACAAGTAAGGAGATGGAAAGAAAAAGATGAAGAGTATGAAAGAGAAGAGAAAAGAAAACCAAAGAAGCCTAGAAAACCTGGTAAATTCATATAAACTTTTTAACCTTTAGGTTTTCACTATGTACATATAGTAAAAACTTAAAATACCTTCTTGTAAAAACCCAAAAGGCCTAGAGCTTAGATATTTTGCATAAGGCATCATCTGGTAGACCCTTACCAAGGTTGTTCAAATTATAGCCCTTGGTCAAAATCGGCCCCGCCCCGGGGTCATTGATTTTCGCTATATGTACATATAGTAAAAACTTAAAACACCTTCTTGTAAAGACCCAAAAGGCTTAGAGCTTAGATATTTTGCATAAGGCATTGTCTGGTAGACCTCTAACCAGATTGTTCAAATTATAGCCCTGGGGTCAAAATTGCCCCCGCCCCAGGGGTCATTGGTTTTCCTTATATGTATATAGTAAAAACTTTAAAAAAAATCTTCTAGCAATTGACAAATGCTAAAGGTTAGATATTTTGCATGATTGTTCAAATTATAGCCCTGGGGTCAAAATTGCCCCCGCCCTGGGGGTCATTGATTTCAATATATACATATAGTAAAAAATAAAAAAATCTTATTGTCTGAAGGTACAAGGCTTAGAGCTTTAATATTTGTTAAATAATATCATCTAAATGTACTCTACCAAAGTTGTTACCAAAGTTGTTCAAATTTTGCCTCTTGTGTCAAAATTAGCCCCGCCCCTGGGAGCCATAGGTTTATCCTATATGTATATAGTTAAAACTTAAAAAATCATCTTCTCTATATTTACAAAGGATAAAGTTAAGATATTTTGCATGAAACATTGTGTAGTGAACCTCTAGCAAGATTGTTCAAATTATAGCCCTGGGGTCAAAATTGGTTCCGCCCCGGGGGTCATTGATTTTCATTATGTACATATAGTGAAAAAAAAAATTTTTGTCTGAAGGTTCAAGGCATAGAGCTTTGATGTTTGATATATAATATCATCTATAGGTCCTCTACCAAAGTTGTTCAAATGTCAAAAATTGGCCCTGCCCGGGAGCAGTGATTCTCATTATGTACACGTAGTAAAAACAGAAAATAAAACAAATGTTTTCTGAATGGGAGAAAGCTATAGCTTAGATATTTGACTTGAAATGTTGTTTGGTGGACCTGTATCAAGATTGTTATTAAACCCTTGGGTCAAAATTATGCCTCGCCCAAGGGGATAGTGACCTACTTTCTTGTCCTTTGATGTACAGCAATGACATTTTGACCATGTGCACAGTTTTAGTTGTAAAATTGAACTTTGACCTAGATTTTGATGATGTGACCTACTTTCTTGTCCTTTGATGTACAGCTATGAAATTTGAACCATGCGGTGGCATAGCATTTTTCTCAAATGCAATCTTGTTTAAATTTAACTTCTTGGTATTGATTTTGCATTGTTATCATACAAACATTATAATACAAAAAAATTTACTCAGCATTTAACACACTGACACAAACATTGATTTTGATTTGAAATTCTATTATTTTAGGTAGTAAAAAGGTGGAATTTTTAAGAGGTGATGATGGTAATGAGTGGGTTTGGGTAATGGGAGACCATGCTAATGATAAGACTATAGAACAGATAATGGAGGAGGAAGCTCAAAGGAAAGCTATTGAACAGGCAGAAAAAGAGGCTGAGGAACTTAGGTGAGAAAAATAGATTAATAAGTTGAAAAATATGTTTATTAGAAAACTTACAGCTTTCATTGTATTTGAATCATCTCTCTTGAATCTGCTTACTGGAAACATGGTTATGGCACTAGTAGGGCTTGACTTACAAGTCTTGCCATGATATGAGAAAACGTAGTAATGGTACCAGTAGGGCTGGACATACAAGTTCTGCTATCATATTATTAAATGATTATTGGGAAACATATCTTTGATGACATTCTGACTAAAAGTTTGTATGCTTGTAGCCGCTATTATCAAAGTAAAAAAATACATTGTAACAGCAAACTGCCCATAAAACACTTGAGAATATTATTTTTATATTTCCATTGGTATTTTGTTATTTCTATTGATATTTTGTTTAAACTTCAAAGCAAATCAAATGTTAAACAACAATATGAATTGTCTTTGTAAAATGTCTAGTATCTTATGTTGCAGGAAAAGAGAAGAAGAAGAAATAAAAAGAAAAATAGAAGAAGAAAAGAGAAGATTAGAAGAAGAGAGGGAAAAAGAAAGAAAGTGAGAGAAAGGGCTATTCTATTCAAATTCCAATTATTCTCTCAATATTTAATAATGTCATATTCAGTCTATATGTTTAGGTATTTTACATAGAAAGAACTTTCCACTGAACTTTCCATTTGACACATTAAAATACAATATACAACAATGGTAATGACCTTTACCTCTTAGGTCAAATTTTCTAAATTTAAAACATTTCCCATTATGTATTATAACCTTTTGATTTAAATGTAAGAAGAGACCAATTGTAATTCTTATAAAGCTTGGGTTCCAGTCTGCCCATTTTGTTTTATGTGCTTCTGTTTGGCAAATTCGGCAAATCTACACTATCAAAAACACGAACGAATAGGAAATAGCCAATATGTGATGTATAAGCAAAAACTATGTTATAATATCAATGCCTGAATCCCAGGCTAATTCTTGTTTATGTGTACATTAAATTGTCAACAGAATTGTAACTGTATAATTTCTATGGCACTTTTTTTATGTTACTATTTATAGACGTTTGGAAGAAGAGGCACTCTACCAGTCTATCAAAGAGGCACGTCTGTTGGCTCAGAAAGCTGAGGAAGAGAGAAAGAAAAGAGAGGAAGAAGAACAGAAGAGACTTAAAGAGCTCCAGGTATGAGATATATACATGTATACTATATATTCTGAAGTGCCAAACTGAATGTATTTGATGCACTGGCCCAGCTTTTAATGGAATTGTTCAGTTTGAGTTTTATGGATTTGAATAACAACACAATAAACATGGTAACAACCTCTGTAGGCTTGAATCACATCAGGGCAAGTCAATTTTTTTCATGTGAGGAAGCTATCCAGCTTGCTTTGTTTGATGGTTGTACACAACTGCCTGCTCCAGAAATAATGGTAATTTTGTAACATTAAATCTTTCTCCTCCATTTAACCTTTTCATTGCAGTTTTAAACAAGTAGAAAAAAGTAAATGTCCATAATATTTTATGTTTCTATGAAGTTATTCATGCTAGGGCTATGTACATGTAATAATCATAACAACCTAGGCATCTGTGGCTGAGTGTTAAAAAATACTAGCTTAAATTTCTTTATCACTTATTTCTGTTGGTAGAAATCCTGTGATCAACTTGAATGTATTTAATGTGATAAGACGATTCAGCTGACAAGTGGAAAGGTTTTGATTATACACATTGCTTTAACTTGCATGAAATTATGCAAAGAGATGTAATCAAGGTCTTTTCCCAGGCAGACAGGTGGAAAGTTTGTATATGATCTAAACAGTATGGCCTGAAACATTTCCAGAAATAAAAACTACAATATTTATTACATAAAAAAAACCTTACATATAATGTAAATTAATTGAATTGAAAGTTTTTCATTATCATTTGTTTGAAGGAGGAAGCTGCAGTTGAAAGAAGAAGATCGTATACAAAAATAAATGAGAAACAGAAACGACGTAGTAATGAAATATATATCAAATGGAAGGAAATGAGGAGACAGTTAGATAGGGTGGCAGAGGAAGCTAGCCAAGAGGTCGATAAAAATTGGAGAGAACAAGGTTAGAAAAATGTGCCTACATTTCTTTAATAAAGTATAAATCATTATCAAATCGCTGGTAATTTTAAGTTGAAGAAGGATTATTATAATTATACAATGTATAGAGGGACTTGAATATGGCATAGGTTCAAGCTGCACACCTCCAAATGAGCAAAAATATTTCGATAAAATCAAACCTAAGATTTTAGGAAAAGTAAAAAGATTCAAAATTCTAGTTAAATTTACTTGTTATGTGCGATAAATGACCGAATAATGCAGTAAGGGTTATTTTTGAAAATTTTGGCCTTTTCATAGTAATTTACATAGGTTGTAGGTGACATTGGTAATGTGTAAATTGCATCTTTGGTAACTTTACAATATTATACTGTTAAATACATTTTCAAATTTTCATGAAAATTAGCATGAATCTGGAGGCGTGCTGCTTTAAGGTAAAACTTAAAGTACTCCAAAGCATGAAACAGTAAGGTATTTTTTATTGCCCGTGCTTTTATAGGCCCAAGAGAATTTCAGCATATGTAATATATCATATATTATGCCCCTGGTTGCCCTTTGGTTGGCATGTTTCTATGTCTATGCAATATCTTTTGAACCAATGTAAGGAAATTGGAACTGTTAGGCAGAAATGTTAATAATAATGAGATACTCTGCAGAGTGCAGGTCTGACTTTCCTTAGATAAAGATCAAAGTCATCATGAAGAAATTTCAAAATTTTATGTATCATTGAACCAATGGAAGAAATTTAAAACTATTTAGTAGAAATGATAATGAGATGTTATGACCATTAAAGCTTTGAATTTGAACCTCTTAATTATAACCTTACACATTTCAATACATGTATAAGAAGACTAAAATTTTGCAACTGTCAGTATAAACTCTTGTCAGACAGTAGGGAAGTGCAGGCTGGCTTTACACATAACTTATAGAGAATAACATGCTACTGTCTTTTGATATCAATTTTATCAGGCGAGGCTGATATGGGCTAGAAAGGGCGAGGCTTGTTTTCTATTTATCATGTAACACATAAAAACTGTCAAAATAACAAAATAATCTACTTTTAAAAGCGAATTTTGTAAAAAAGGGGATTTTTGTTCAAAGAAATAATTCTTGAAAACAAATTCCTCCGCCCCTGAAACTTAGAATTTGTAAATGACGGCCATTTTTTTCTTTTGACTCTGATAAAAGATACAACAGAATGTAAGCCTAACACGATAAAATGCTTACCTTTAATTTAAACATTGATCCAAAAATTCCCTTAGAATCACATAAACTTTACAGTACTGCATTTTTAGCTCGACTTTTCTATGAAAAGGGGAGCTATCCTACTCGCCCCGGCGTCGGCGTCGGCGTTAGCGTTGGCATCACACCTTGGTTAAGTTTTTCGTACCACCCCACTTTATTTCAGAAGTATTACAAGTATGGCTTTGAAACTTACCATACTTGTTCACCATCATAACCTCCATCTACAGACAAGAGTACATAACTCTGTCAAGGTTTTTGACAGAATTATGGCCCTTTTTTGACTTAGAAAGTGTATTGAGCTTGGTTAAGTTTTTTGTACCACCTCACTTTATTTCAAAACCATTGGAGGTATTGCTTTGAAACTGACCATACTTGTTTACCATCACGACCTTCATCAACAGACAAGAGGACATAACTCTGTCAAGGTTTTTGACAGAATTATGCCCCTTTTTGACTTAGAAAATACATTGAATATGGGTAAAATCCACTTATTGCCTTAACCCTTTGAGATATTGCTTTGAAACTTTTAATGCTATTTACATCATTACCCCATCTGTACGCAAGAGAAGGTAACTCTGTCAGGGATTTGTTTTAAAAATTAAGGCCTTTTATCGACTTAGAATCTTGGTTAAGTTTTTTGTACCAGTCAACTTTTTGACTGAACTGGTTGAGATATTAAATTGAAAGTTGGAATACTTGTTTACCATCATGGTCCCAAACATGGGCAGGAGAAGGTAATTCTGTTAAGGATTTTATTTGAATTATGGCCCTTTTTGACTTAGAAACTCAGTTAAAATTTTCATTCTTGTCCACTTGTTGACCTAACCATTTGAGATATTACTTTGGAAGTTGGAGTTCTTATGTGCCATCATGAGACCTATCTGTAAGCAAGAGAAGATAACTCTGTGAAAATGTTTCTTGATTTGTACTTAGAAATTCCTAGTTAAAGTCTTGTGTGCCCTTAACTGTCAAAGTTTTGTTTTATAGGCAAGCACTAAAAAAGTCGAGCGCGCTGTCCTTCTGACAGCTCTTGTTTGTCTTGAATTGTCAAATTCAAAAGCTCACGATAATTTCAAAAGTCCAATCGGCAATCAAACACAAGCTTCACAAACATGCGTCTTATTGTTTTTAAACGAAAGAATTTGTTCACTTATTAAATAATTATCCGGCAAAATAAAGTAAACATTTACAAGTTCTCAACCTGTTTGTTATGTTTACATGTATAGTATGACGTGAACATTGATGATGTCATTTGCAATATAAATTATGACGTCACTTCATTTAGTTGGTGTTAAAACTATTTGCTATCTAATTTATTCGTAATTGAAATCGAAATAATAAAAAGATAAATATCGCATCTTGATTCAAGATTTGTAAGGGTATGCGATTACATTGTAAATTCACATGCTGATGAAAATGAGAATATAAGCAATTGAAAAAAGTCCGTTAAAAATGGGCGGGGCTTATTTTTGATATCAGGTTACTGACCTGATATCAAAAATAATTATCAGGCAAGTGTTATCGGGCAGTTACCATAGCAGTTGCATGATAAATGGCATAATCAAGCAATTGCTGCCCATATTATTACGAAAGTTAATGACTCATGTGTTAGTAAAAAAATTTTCAGAAAAGAAAGCTAAAGAGGCGGAGCAAGAAATGAAGTTGATAGCGCAGCGAGCTCGAGAAGAAAATCGTCATTCCCTCGACAGAGCTGCGCAGCTTATAATGAATGCCAACAGGTTTACACAAGGCACAAAACCACCACTACCTCCAAAGTATGTATACAATTAATAGTAAAGATTTTGAATGTATTTTGCAGGATACATTTCAAGATACCTATACAAATTATATTATGTGTGCTTTGGAGATGGATAACTAAAGGATAATGTGCCCTAAAAATAATTTGTTTGTGACATGACTTTTTTCTCACTTTGTTTTAAAATTTAAGAAAAAGAGGATTAATAAAAAATGTTCCTTACTTTGGTTGTGAAAAAAATGACTGTATATAAGCAGCTTCACATTTGTTAACTTCTAAACAATTATTTTTTTATTAAGTTATTTTTTCCAATAAAATCATGATAATCATGTTACAGATAAATTATGATATGGAGTCATCATCATTTTAATATAAAGGATGATATTTTATGGATTTATTGTTCATAAGTATTATTTCTTAGCTTGACTATTTTAAGAATAGGTAGAGCTATTGAACTCAGCAAGGCGTGAGTGTTTGGGTCAGCGTCGGCTTTACTCTTTGGTTTAGTTTTTGTGTGCAATTTGTTATTTCCAAAACTACCGAAGGGAATGGGTTTAAATTTCATACACTTGTTTGAGGAGATCGCTGTCAAAGGTCCATTACTCTTATGTTGATTTTTTGACAAAATAATGGCTCTTTTTTAACTAAGCAAATTCTATATTATCCATGCTCTTGTTTTACTATCAAGCACTGAGAATAGTCAATCAAGCTGTCCTGCTGACAGCTCTTGTTATGAATTTTTTTCAATCTTTAAAGTTATTCATACATTAATCATACATTAATTTCCATTTCTACTTTGTTCATTTGCCAATGCTGTAATGATAACCAGATTTTTTTACTGTTTCCATTCTCCTAATATTGTCTGTCATTATCATTTGACTTTTATTAATAATTTACTTCTTGATAAAGTTATGACCTATAAATAACATAAAATACTTTTATAACATGACCTTTTTATTACTTCTGACATTTGAATAGCATCTAGCTATATAATTCTCTTGAACTTTGCAAATTTCTTAAATTTAATTTGTGTTACACAAAGAATGTCAAGCAATACTGGTGATTTCTATAATAAAATCTTTTCTTTTAATGATATTCAGCATAGTTACTTAGCCAACATTTCACATTGTTTAAATTCTTTGAATGTCCTTTAAAATTTTTGGAGGTTTTCATTGTTAAATTGTTACCGAAAAACCTGTTCTCAACATAATTTTAGCATAAATTATATAATGATAAACAATTACAAGAACTTGACTGTTTGAAAATGACCACCATTTTTGTTTCCCTTTGGTTTATTGGTAATGTAACTTTACCAGTATTTGGATAACCACTTACAATGAATATATCTATTTAGATATTTAAGTTATTTTTAATCCCCAAACTACTTGGGTAGATGGGGAAATATAAATTTGCCCTCGTCTTGCTGTAATGCTGTCCGTTCATTGACAAAACTCTGGAATGAAGGATCATATGGCAATAATGGAATAAGTCCTAAATTTGATAGCAGTTAATCAGTTATTGCACAAAGGCAATGATGTGTGTCGTATGGACGCATATCTGGTTTCTTTTTTTAGACAAAGTTGACATGTCTCCTTGTTCTATTTAAAAAAAAAACACCAAAAAAAACAAAACTTAACAGCCAATAAAAAAACCAGACAATCTGCCTCTTTGCATTTATAAACTACATGTATGGTTATTCCCTATGCTGTGTAATCTAGATATTTATATGTATGCTTTATATGATATTACACAGAGAACGTGATAGGTATGTACACAGGAATGTTTGCATGATTCAATCTAGTTAAAAAAGTAACAAGTCTAATTTTAGATAAACATTTATTATAGCATATTGAGATAATGACATTATAATATATATACCTTTAACCTTTATAGCACTCAATTTGTATAATGGACTAGCCCTACATTGACTTTGGGACTGTCCATTGTTTATTAAAGGGATTTTAAAATAAGAACATTAAAGTCATAAAATGGGCTTGCCCTACTTTGAATTTGGGAATGTCCATTGTAGATGTAAAGGTTGTTAGAAATTAGCAAACTATACATGTGTAGAGTATGGTCTGACTGCTGTGACAAGTTTAGTTATAAAGATTTTTGTTTGGTTATAAGGCTTGATATAAATGGTTGTTTGGAGGCAGCTTGGGTTATATTGCAAATAACTGTTTATATACAGTCATATAACCTGTAAGGAATATTAATAATGAATTCATAATACAGCAACCATCCATTTTTAGAGTAAAAATATCAAATTACTTCATAAATTAACATCAGGTGTGTCTATAAAACTATATAAACATCAGGATTCTCCAAAGAAAAGCGATGTTACAAACTTGCAGTATTATAAATGGTTCTATACTAATGGTTAAGACAAGTCATTAACTCCCACTTCTGCCATTAATAAAAGTTACTGTACTCAAAGTTTGATCTTAAAAACTTTTTTTTCAATTTGAATCTTAAAGTGTATTGTATTGTACATGATAATTTTAGAATGAAACAGATTGTTTGTCAGGCCTCCTTTACTCACATGCTTCAGTTACTGCCTGTATATTTCACTCACTTCCCTTTCACTTTGACTTTGAATCTATGTGGAAGATAAGTTTGAATCTTTGTGGAAGATAAATTAGTGTATTTGTGTAAAGGTTAATAGTAAGTTGCTGTGCTAGCCATTATTCGATAATGGCCGAAAGCTGTCTATAATGGCTCGAGGGCCATTAATGGCTAGCAGCAACTAAATATTAACGTCTCTAATACACATTACATGGAAAAATAATGCCAGGTAGATGGCAAAAATTGCATTAATGACCTAGATCTTGCCATAATGGCCTTGAAATAACCTAAATTATGTTACTATATCCACCTCCACATTTGTGGTAGAGAAAAATCACCTGAGGGGTATCGCGGAAAAGGTAAAATCTGTGCTGAGCATACTGTAGGTATTAAAGAAAGTTATTTGCCTCCACTCAGCCTGGAGTTACTCAGTATTACATAAAGTTTGCTTAAGCTTCTGCCATCTATGATCAGGACAAATTAAACTGAGACGGTACCAATTTTCAGTTTGAACCCTTATGATTCTCATTCACATTGTAACATTTAAATGTACATGTACAAGGAAATGATCATTGCCAGATTTAAAACAAGCAATAAATGAGCCGCGTCACGACAAAACCAACATAGTGCATTTGCAACCAACATGGATCCAGACCAGCCTGTGCATCCGCGCAGTCTGATTAGGCGCAGGCTGGTCTCGATCCATGCTGGTCGCAAACCCATTATGTTGGTTTTGTCGTGACACAGCTCAAATATGCTTATTGAAATCTCATGAGGTAAATTTAGAAATCACTGTTTATTCATGTTTGAAATGAAATTGAGGTAGTCTTACTATAATGCTTTCCCGACAAAAAAATTCTAACATCAACCAATATTGTAATGAATCGGTCATTTCTGAAACGTTATTTTTCACAATCTTTGGTATTCCATAATTTTAAACCGTTTATAACTGGAATTAAGTACATATGGATAAAGGATGAGAGATTGTAAATAATCTAATGCCCAAGATTTTGACAAAATGACGTTCCAGATATAACTGTAATGGTACGATATTGGCTGATGCCAGAGTATTTTTGGCCGGAAATTGTAACAATAAGTCTTCCTTTAGGATAAGTCCTATCAACAAAATGCTTTATCACAATTTGTTATGCATCTTTCACTCTACATTTCTATTCTATATATTTCTACATTTTGCTTTAACAATCACTCTTTATTCTCCCAGAAAACAATGGTAGGTAAAAACAATCAGTTTTTGTATGGAATCCTATTTTTGTCATATTAAATTTCACATTTTTGTCAAACCATTCAAAGTTTTTTATGTAAAATTAATTCTTAACCTGACTTGTCCAGGTCTCATTTTATTTGTTGCAAGACAGTTAGTGCTTAGTTATACAATAGGATTGTTTATTTTGTGAAAAAGTCTTTGGGTTTTTTTTAACGTATATATATATTGCAGTAAATCAGCTATCATTTATTGTAAATATATATACAATGTAACATATAGTCTTCATTTCATGGCAATTATACATTACGATTGAGAATTTTAAATGATAATTATGGGTAATTGTATTACGATATTTGATAATGGAACTAAGGCCCTATACATATACAAAATGAGACAGTGAAGTAAATTTAATCTTGACATTGTTGGTTCAATTCCCGGGCTGGCCAACTAAAATTACTAATCAGTCTTTGGGATGAGACTTTAAATCAAGGTCCTGCGTATGAGTGCTTACAGAAGAAGTTTCTGGAATGGGGGTCCAAAGAAATCTAAAATGACAAACACTCTTCTGGAGGACTTGCCCATATAGGCAGCTGATGGCGAATATAAGTAAACTCAAATACACACACATGATGTAAATGTCACTTAATATTGATAATTTTTGGATTAACTGGCCAGATATACTTATGATATATTTTTTGTATATACATGTAGATCTAAATAACTTCATCAAATTAATTTTAAAACTTGACTTACAATAATTGTATATTTAAGTCAGATGTAATAATTAATATGACTCAAACAGGATTCCATATTTTTCCTTGTTTTTGCTGACTATGATGGGTATTGTTGTTGAATGATATAGTTTGTTTTGAAGTTATTATTTGTTGATTTTACATTATTATACCTGTCCAATGTTAATTAACCTGTAACCTGCTTAATTAGTGTAATGGACCTGTCTTGTTTTGATTGGATCTGTCCATTATCAATTTTGGGGATATCAAGATGAAAATTTGAAGTTGGTCAGCCAACAGTATAGGGCCTGGTCAGACTACAGACATGCATGCTAGCCTGGCTCTCTATACTGGTGGCAAATTGCTGATTTATTTTGGTTCCAACAGATGGAGGATTAAAAGTGTTTTCCTTTTGAATTGATTGATTTGTAGTAATATCCCTGGTGTATTGTTGAGTTAATAACAAACCCAACATTGCCATGCATTAGGTGAAAAATTACAACAACATTGTTTTATAAGTGATAAATTAATTGTATTATTCTATATTATATGTAAAATGGTTAAAGAGGTTAAGGATATAAAAATAGGAACATTTTCCTTCCACCCTACCATTTTATGTGAAGCATGTTAACAAAACAGCAATTTCATTTATCTTGCTATGTCATGATATGATTTTTGTCCATAGAAATACATTCAAAGTGTTACTATAACAGCATTATGTGCTAGAATATTTGTGTTTTGTATTTTGAATTATTTACGTATTATTTATTATCTATATATATTTCAATTTAACCCTTTCCCTCATGAGCATATTGTTAAAAATGGCCATTTTCATTGAAAAGCCTCCTGTTACAAGTTCAAACTACTATGAAACTATGAAAAATGCTTCAATACTAATCAAACTTGGCACAAATGTTGGCTGGACCAATTTGCCTTTGTAATGACATGCTCAGTCTTAAATTTCCTGTTACCATGGCAACGAGGGGACATCTCAAAATTGCCAAAAAGTCACTATTTCGCCATGATTTTTTTCCATCAAAATTTATTTCAAAGTGCTACAACTTCTCAAGGGATTGAGATAGAGTCAAAGGCTTTTCAGCGTTAGTTACACATTACCGTATGATCGACCTGGGGTCATTTTTAGCCTCTCACAAGTGAGTTAGTCCAAAATTTTCTTGGCGATAAGCCCCCTTCAAACCCCCCAAACAGAGGGGGGCACATCCCCCTTCTGGCAACCCCCTGATGTATCTTTTGGATGGGGGGGGGGCGGTGCCGAAAAAGATCTCACTTTTTTTAGCAACATTTCTGAAACGAAAACATGTGTTTTGGGCCCAAATAGGACATTTTTTCACTATTTGAGGCCTAAAAGAGGGCGGGGGTCGAAAGTGCGTTGTTTCGCGTATATATGAGGTAAAGGGTTAATTGTTTCAACTTGTGTAATAAGTTTGCTGTTTCAGTTTCTTAAAACTGATAAACATCATGTCTGTAATATTTATATCATAAGATAATGTTCATCATTCTGTAGTTTAGATATTGAATTTGAAATACATGTATTTCAATGCTTATAATAATTACATTTTTCTAACCTTTGTCTTTATTTAGGAAATAGATATTAATTTTGAGTGCATTGTTGTAGAATAACACACAGTTTAAGTTCATATGTGCAGGCATTAATGATAAATTACAAAGCATTTAAACAATAAAGATTGCATTTAACCACATCACAAGAAAACTGAATATCTATTTTCCATTAAAGTATACATATTTATTTTCCCTTAAAATGTGCTAATAAAAAAAGAGATGATAATTGATAAAAATACTTAATAAATATTTTCTGACAATCACATATACGAGTATTGATATCCTATATCAGTTTTTCTATTCTTTTGTTAGTCTCTGACTTGTCTGAAACATTGCAATAATTAGCACTTAATGGTATATCTTCAATATTAAATATGAAAAGTCCAAGTGTCACTTAAACATTGTCGTAGTGGCTGAAGATGAAACAAAAAAAGGGGTATTTTTTCAAAGTTGTTTGAAAATCAATATTGCTTTATTTAGTATATGATTTCCAAATAATTTACAAGTATTGTAATTTCTATATTAAGAACTAGTGCAGTTATGGATAAAAATAGAGAGTTGAGGGAACAGCGTAGAAAATCTCGCCCACCTAGACCACCAAACCGTGAAGCTGTTATAAATTGGTTCCATGAAGAAGAGAAAAGCCGGAAAACAGTCACAGATAGTACAACAGGGAAACCAGCCATTTGGTTCCATGGTATACTTTATATATTATAAGAGAAAGTTGAACAATTAATGCCTATACATTTGAATGTAATGTTACGTGTGAAAATTACAAAATATTAAAAAAATGTCTTAGTTTTTAGTTAGAATGAAGTAGTCTTGGAAAAAAATGCTGTTATTTAGAAAGCTGTGCTGTCATTGTTGTCAAGTCTGCTCTCTACATTTAAATAAGTAAAGCGGACAATTTGTTTCATGATCTTCACTGACACGTTATAATTACCTCTCGGGACGCTGTTTTAACAGTGATATGATGCACTTTTCCATGATAAAATAGCTAAAAAACTTTGTTTGAAACAGTTTGAAACAACACAGAATTGTTTTCCAACAGAAAATAAAAGCTGAAAGCTGCTTACACAGATTTTGACTTTATACATGTTATCTTTGTAGGTGTGATATCTCGATTTGATGCTGAGAAGTTGTTACTAGAAAAACCTCTAGGAACATACCTGGTCCGTGTTAGTGAGAAGGTATGGGGCTACACTATCTCGTATCGTGCCAAAGATAGATGTAAACATTTTCTCATTGATGCCTCGGAGGAACAATATCACTTCTTCGGTCCAAATCAGCTGGATCATAACAGTATTATAGATCTTGTCAACTATCATAAGGTAGGGAGATACTTCTTCTTATCTTTAGAAATTAGTTAATCCTTACCATGCTAAATGTCTTGAATGGATTTACCTGTCTTTCAATCTAGATTAAATCATTTTTCATTTAAGGGAAATTTTCTAAATTATTCAAAATACTTATGTTCTGACTTAATTAATTGCAAACAGTGTAGACCATGATCAGACAGCACTGATGTGCAGGCCGACCTTGGCTGGATTGTTTGCATGAGTAGAGTTTGTTGCCCCCAGCAGGGTATGGGTTAGGGAGAAATTGTTTACATAAAAGATTGGAATAAGCAAGATTTTATTCATTTGTAGAAAATAATAAGTAAACAGTTATCCTTTGTGTTTTGAGAGTTATTTTTGCATAAACTTCTTTAAAAAATATTGAGAAGTGTCAAAACATAGAAAAAAGCTAGATCTACATAATTTACTATTACTTTAGAAATATAAAAGAAGAAGTTATGTGAATTGTGTTTTAGAAATAATTTTTTGAGGGAGAACTTATAGCATTTTAGACTGACATGAATAAGGAATTATCTGATATTAAAAAAAAATCAAAAACAAAAAGCCTCAATAAACATGTTTTGTTGAGTATCATATGTGTTTTATTTTGCAGGAAAAACCAATAACTGTTATTGGAGGGGAGAAGTTGTTACATCCTTGTGGCCAGGTATCTGATCCCCCAGATTTCTGGGAACTTTTTCAAAACAGACGGACAGAAAGCACATCTTTGTAGTCAGATTTTAAAACTGACGATTTTAGAAATTATTCAAATTTTAGGGATCAAGAAAAATCAGTTTTTATATGGTTTTAAATGGCACACAACAAATATAATAACCAATGGGATTGTGGTATCTGCAACCTGTTGTTGAGAATGGCTGCAATGACTGGAAATCCAGGTGGTTAAAGCGTTAATCCAGAATGTGGATCAAGTTTTCTACAGTAATAAGTTATATATAAAAGCAAAGGTGGAGATTACACATTGTATAAATCCTAGTAATGCAAGTAAAAAGTACATATTTATTGGAATAAATGTGGTAGGAAAACATTATTTAGATATATTGACTGAGAAAAGTTAAGAAAAACTAGTTAAATATAATAGTTTGGACATTTAGCTTTTTTTTCTTGTCATTTATTACTTCAATATCAGGTTGTATCTATGTATTATTACCATAACCAATGTGTAGATAATCTTTATTATTAATGTGTATAACTGATAGGCACATGGGAAGTAAAGAAGGGAAACTCAAAATGATAGGCACATGGGAAGTAAATGGGAAGTAAAGAAGGGAAACTCAATATTTCCATAATTTTTATGGTATATTGCTCCATGAGTATATAATTTGTATCTATTCTTCTTGTTTAAATTTTATATTTCCCATTTCAAACAGTCAAGTTTTACTTACAAATTACATGAAATCTGAAAAATAGGCCACTCAAATCATAATAAGAAATCCTATAATTCTGAGCACCTGTCATGAAAGTTTTCTTACCTTAACTGTTAGTAAAGAGCAAGGCTAGGGTTCAAAGCATTGCCAAGCCCTTGGCTGTTGGCTACCAAAATTTATGACTAAACACTAAAAATTTCCCAAAATTACTGAATGATGAGGGAAAAAAAGGCAGACAATTCTGTCATGAAATCTTAATTTAATTTTCAAAGCTTGACATAAGTCCATTATTCAAAATCAGTGGGTTACTTATTTAAAACATTGTGTGAATCTCTCTATACACATTAGACAAATAAAAATTGTTATATTGTAACTGGAAATTATTTTATTCAAGATGGAAATAAGGTATATAAATGTTTTACACAAGAAATCAAAATATTTGTGATCTATAATTGATATTCTCCATCTTATCTCATTTTTTTTTATTTTTTTTTTGGATTTTTTTAGTAGTTTTTTTTAAATTGTGTATAATTTGTAGCCATTTTAATGTTTTATATTTCTAGGGCAAGGTTTTTTTTATATGTTTAAGACAGCTAGTTTTATGGTGGACTGTTTTTAGTACAGTAAAAACTCTGAAAACCGGACCCTGCCAGGACTTGACCAAAAGTCCGGTTTTCAGAGGATTCAGGTTTTCAGAGGTTGTGTACATTTCTTGATAATTATGATGTGTTTGAACAATGACTTTGTTCAATCATTTATGTATTTACCTTTCAAACCTTTTGTCTCAGTCATACTTTAATATCTTTTTGCAATAAATATCTTGAGTAATTTAATTATGCAAATCTAAGAATAAAATTCAGAAAATCAGATACTAAAACAATATATTGCCTGAAAATATTCATTGGCTTTGAAATATGTAATTAATGGAATTTATTATTACTATTTTTGCATATGATTAATTTTCAAACAAAGATAAATTCAATATCAAAATTTTAAGCAAAGCAGGAATTATTTAACAAAGTTTCCTAATTATTTTAGACATTTTGTATTAGAAAAAAAAAACATTTTGAAAAATCATACCTATACAGGGAAAGTCTTAAGATGAAAGAGCAATAATTTATTTGCCAATAAGAAATTAACACACACTGGGAAGTGTTTTCCCACCTGCATAGATAAGCAAGAGGTGGTAATTGAATATGTCACCTGTTGAGATTATGTTTTAATCTACATTAAAATACACAGAAAGTTGACACTTAAAATTGCTGTCCGGTTTTCAGAGGATTTTTTATGCATAATTAGCATTAGTAGCCATAGAAAATCGTCCGATTTTCGGAATTCAGAGGTTCCGGTTTTCAGAGGATTTTTTTCAATAAACTTATAAGGATAAAATATGGGACTTTTAAAATTGTCCGGTTTTCAGAGGATTCCGGTTTTCAGAGGGTCCGGTTTTCAGAGTTTTTACTGTATTTTCTTTTTTTCTTTTTAACATATTCACTCATAAATGTGTTCAAACAGAATGTCATAATATCTGTGAAAAGTGGACTACACCCTAAAACAATAGTTAGAATAAGTTAATCTAGATAGTTGTTTTTAACCCGTTTAAAATGCTAACAACAACTTGTGTATGTCACCAGTATAGAGCCAGACCAGCTGGCAAGTCTGTGCTGTCCGACCAGGCTTTGAACTGTTGTATGCTCAAGTTTAGTGTTTTGAACCTGATACCCCTGAACTATATCAATGAAAAGTTTATACTTTCAAAGCAGGAGAAGTTCATTACCAAAGTTCAGTAGGGTCAGGCTGAAGAATATAAAAATGCAACCATTTCATTGAACGATTACAGCTAGGTCTGAAATGAGGTAGATTTATTAAATTTAAAAAACTGTTTACTAAATATAAGTCTTTCTTTTTTTGCATTTTTTGTAAATAAACAAGAATGAAGAAACTTTTCATCTTGTAATTTTTATACTAGTTTAGTTTTAAACTTATTTATTTTAGTTTCCATAGTGATGAAAAGCTGTAAGCTTACCAGTAAATAGACCTTTTTGAACACTATTTATTGTGTAGAAATAAGTATTTGTGCCATTTAAAGATAATTTGTCATTTCAAACATTAAATATCTAGGTTGCTGGGCGGAAATCTTTGTCCGAAATTTCATTATATTTACAAACATATACCAGATTTTGAAACAAGTTTCTATTAATAAGGTTTTGCTGTCATTCATAACAGTCATAAATTTTATATATTGCATTAGAATTGATATGATAATTGTGCCAGTGATTAATGAAAACAAAAATTATGCCAGTGTTTTATTGAACCCTCATACAATAATGTTGAAATTTTGATATTAAGGTATTTTCACAGTGAAAAGTTACAATTTAAAAGCAGGGCAAGTGCATTTCACAAAATCAGCTGGGAAAGGGCTAAGATCTTTAATAATTTTTATGATAATGAATTATTGTGTCCTGTAAAATCCTACCATATTTCATATTTTTGTAGCTTAGCTTCCTTTCTTTTTTTCTCTCACAGTATTAAATTAAGAAATTCCATTATCTTTGTAGTATTTCTCCTTATAAAAGCCCCCTTTTTATAAGCACCCTACTGTGGGCTTATATTTTATAAAAGCACCATGATTTGGGCTTATGTTTGGAGGAAATACAGTATACTGTGGTTTTGTATGTACATGTACTGGTAAATGAGTTTGATTGAATTTGTCTTATAACCAAGTATAACACCATGAAAATAGCTTTTTTTTAAAGGCATTTTTCATTGAATTTTTGTGTTGATTAGTTTTGTGTTGTTTATTTGATTAAACACCATTTTGGATGAAAGTAATGTTTCTTTGCTGCTAACAAAACCTTGTTTAGTGCCATAAGTTTTAACTTATATTTTCCAACCTAACTTTTAAGTCTGTCAACTCAATAACATAATTATGAAGGAAAATAAAAGAAAGAAAAAGAATTAAATTTTGTACTTTTAGAGAGAAAAAGAAATCCATGTTCATGTAGAAAAAAAATCCTTTATTTATATGTTAGGCAATTGTAGTTTTAAATCTGACCATTGGCTAGAAAATAATAAAATAGAGAATATTATTATTGTCATCGAGTAAGATTTGTCTTCCTTGTTAGTTATTTCTTTTTGTTTTACTTGATATACTTTATGAAGTTAAATGGTTGTTTTTGTGAAAACTATTTTTTTTTTATATTTTGAAAATATGTTGTTTAAATGCTTTCATATCTCATATCTTTATAGACACTTGGATTAGCTCATTGATACTGTGTATGCCTGGGACTACTTTTTATTCCCAAAAAGTAAAAAAAAGATGTCTCAAGGTTTCGGATATACAGTAAAGCTTTCACATTTCACAAGTCATTTCACATTTGAAATAAAGAATAAAAAATGGGGGGGGGGGGGTGCCTAATAAATAAGCTCATTCATTCAACAAGGCCTCCATTGAAACCCTATTACATGTATTAAAATGTTTCAATAGCTAACAAAACATGATGATGTAATGGTGATATTGAAATGAAATGATTTTATTTTCTTAAATAAAGAATAGATACCACTTCTATAAAGTGACATTAGGCCAACACAGGGTATGAAGTGATAAACAGTGAACAGGTAAAAGTCAAAATAAGATTTTGCCTTAATGCCTTTCAATTTTTAACCAGGTTTTCAATTTTGAAAATCCTGGTTATTAGATTGGGGTATGGCGGGCGGATGGGCGGATGGGCGGCTGGGCGGATGGGCGGCTGGGCGGATGGGCGGATGGGCGGGCGTCAAACGAAATTGTGTCCGCTCTGTAACTCTTCAACCCTTTGAAGAATTTTGATGAAACTTCAGACAAATGTTTACCACATCAAGATGACGTGCAGAACGCATGTTCCGCATGGCTGGCTCCAAGGTCAAGGTCACAGTGACATTAACATTGAAAATCCTGTCCGCTCTGTAACTCTTCAACCCTTTGAAGAATTTTGATGAAACTTCAGACAAATGTTTACCACATCAAGATGACGTGCAGAACGCATGTTCCGCATGGCTGGCTCCAAGGTCAAGGTCACAGTGACATTAACATTGAAAATCCTGTTTACATGATTTTAACTTCGGGCGTCAAACGAAATTGTGTCCGCTCTGTAACTCTTCAACCCTTTGAAGAATTTTGATGAAACTTCAGACAAATGTTTACCACATCAAGATGACGTGCAGAACGCATGTTCCGCATGGCTGGCTCAAGGTCAAGGTCACAGTGACATTAACATTGAAAATCCTGTCCGCTCTGTAACTCTTCAACCCTTTGAAGAATTTTGATGAAACTTCAGACAAATGTTTACCACATCAAGATGACGTGCAGAACGCATGTTCCGCATGGCTGGCTCCAAGGTCAAGGTCACAGTGACATTAACATTGAAAATCCTGTTTACATGATTTTAACTTCGGGCGTCAAACGAAATTGTGTCCGCTCTGTAACTCTTCAACCCTTTGAAGAATTTTGATGAAACTTCAGACAAATGTTTACCACATCAAGATGACGTGCAGAACGCATGTTCCGCATGGCTGGCTCCAAGGTCAAGGTCACAGTGACATTAACATTGAAAATCCTGTCCGCTCTGTAACTCTTCAACCCTTTGAAGAATTTTGATGAAACTTCAGACAAATGTTTACCACATCAAGATGACGTGCAGAACGCATGTTCCGCATGGCTGGCTCCAAGGTCAAGGTCACAGTGACATTAACATTGAAAATCCTGTTTACATGATTTTAACTTGATTTGGCAGTCATATCATCTTTGGAGGTAATTTAAAAAAGATATGATATATTATTTCATGTCTACTTTGTAACTTGTTTTTCATTATACAGAATTATCAATATAATTATAGTGAACAAATTCTTCTGTGCTGAACTCGTCCTACATTTCTCAACGGATTTTGTTCAAACTTTCACAGAAGCTTTGTCATCTAGCACCCTGGCACATATTGTCGGGGTTTTGTGATTGGATAGTTTTTGACCTAATTATGGCCCTTTGTTTTTTTCCTTATACATAATATTATAGTGAACACTTCTTCAGTGGCAATTCCTCCTACATTATTCATGTTTTACATTGCACATAGTTACATTGTTTGTTGCTTGTATTTGTATTTCAAATACAACATATTTATCTACAATGGTGATAATTGAAAACCTGGTTTCATGGCATTGCCATGTTTCTTGTATATAATTTACTTCACATGAATGATTAAAAAACTCGGGCTAGGGCAATTTCTGTTAATATCTATTGGAATTCAATTTATAATACAGTTAGGCTTTATGCAGATTTATATTTTATCCTAAGCATTTTCTAACATC